CATCATCACCAATCTGCGAAACACAAGAGGCTGCGATAACAAGTCATGGCAGCAGGCATGACATTTATTACCATAGTGCATTTCACTTGCTTTTCTTTTGGCTTGATGAGAAACATACAGCCTCCCTGAATAGGACTGAAGCCCCTGAAGTCCACAGTAGCTGAATCTTGGCAAAATTGATTTCTTTTAATAACACTGTAATCCGTTCCTTTTGCACTGCCACATCGTTCAAATATTGATTTTTTGATAATGATCATCAAATCAACATCGTTCAAATATTATCATGGCAGACTTTGTGTAAAAAAGGGTCAGTAACAACCGTACTGGGGATAAAAGTTCAAATTACAATATTTTGATACGTGAAGTAAATTGCTGTTTTCAATGTGGTCGTTATATTGAGCTTCAAAAGGATACTGTGCTCACGATAGAACACAGCTGCATGAGTCCTTCACCACACCAACAGTTTTAGTGCATGCTCTGCGAGTGCACCAGCCGTGATGAGGGGCCACACAGCAAAGGCACCATACATGTTAAAATGAATAGCCTGAGCAGCTGAAGCAGGTAGAACAAGCAACCCAAAATTCAGACAAGACATGATGAAATATTTTTACTGCAAAATGCTGCACACGATTAAAATTACTGCTTCATATGCCATGGGGAAAAGAAGGCAGAAAAAAAAAAAAGGTTGTCTCCGCTCAGCTTTCTTCTCATGCATGTCCAAATATAATACTATAATTTCATTTGTTACTTGTAGTTCACTATTATTCACCAATTATAAATGGAGCAGACAATTGAAAACTTGTTTTGTGTTTCCTTTGCAGTGGTGCCAATTCTATCCTGTGTTAGCATCATTTTCTCAGAAAGACTCCATACGGCAAATGTGGCATTTGGGACATTTTGACGAAAATACCTGCTAGTACTTTAAAGGGATACTGAACAAGAATTAGAAAAACTAACGAAGCCCGAAATTCGTCTCAGAAGATGCCACTGTTCCAATAACAGAGTTTATTTCGCCTATTTTCTAACAGTCGGTTGTATTTTTGATGAATTGTCAGCGCGCAGGGGCTGCTCGCAAGCACGAGCCTGTGACGTCACACTCACCGAGGAGCATGCATTCTAGTCCTCTTCCTTTTTTCCTCCTCTCCTCTAACCCCAATCTCCCAATCTTACCCTTCCACAAAACAGCTGGGGCTTTGCCCCAGCCAGAATTATTGCTCGCTGCTGTTGCTGTTCATACTGATTTTGTGAACCAAAGTGAGAGTTAAGCGAGTCGAGAGATGCAAGCGACGGCTCGCATTGTTGACTTACCCGTTTCGTGTGTGTGACGTCATTAGACGTCACCTTCTCTATAACGGCATAGCCACCAAACGCGGCAGTTTGTGAAAAACGTATTAAATTAATTATCTTCCGATAGTTTCTGCTTAGAATGAAGGTTGTCTCTATTAATTTGAGGGCCCACTCTTTCGATTTGGTTGAAAATCTTCGGCGAAAATTTTTGTTCAGTATCCCTTTAAATCACATTGGGAAAGACTTAATTCTTGCAAAACTAATGCATGCAACTATGGCAGGCTGCGAAAAACGAGCTCAGCCAATACAGTCAAACCTCGATATAAAGAACCTTGATTCAATCTGTAATGCAACTTGCTGATTTCCCTTCCCAATCTCGACTTCATTGAAACCATAAAAAATGTTTTTTGTGAGATAACTACGTACAAGAGATTAAAATTATAAAGTGCTCACACAATGCATATAAGCAAATTATCGTACCTCCATGTCCAATCGAAGATTAGTGGACATCGGCCATCAGAAAATTGATCATTACACAGGAAACAATTTGAATGGAAACGCTAAGGTGCAGCAGAAATGCGCATATGTCAACAAAATGGATGGCACTGTTGTGTTATCTGCAGTCACAGCAGCAAGAAACTTGTGCTTGCTCAAGCCCCAGAGTGTGTCAGCCTAATTACAGTTTCAATTTTACCAGCAGTTTAAACATATTTGGAGTTATATTTGGGTCACTTTCTATAGAGCCTGATATACAGTCAAACTTCACTTAAACGAACTCTGCTACAACTAAATTTCTGCATCAACGAACGTATTCGATTCTCCGCCAGCATCCATTAGGCTCCAATGTATTAAAACTTCCTCCACAATGAACAACTTTTTTATTGTTCTGCCAGTTCAATGAAACTTTCCCTGGCTACGAGTTACTTGACCAGCTAGAAATCGAACCACGCGAACTAGTAAATTGAAGTGACAACACTTTTTATCCTTAAAAACAAAATTAAAAAAATTTCACATGACAGCGGACTGTCCTTGCTTTTATTTATCTTCTTTATCGCGCTGTCTCTAATGGGAAATTATTATTAGCTGGCCCGCATTCAGAGTCTAAATTAAGCGTTTTCTTGGTTATCAGACAGCTGAAACAATCGTAAACGCACCAAAGTTGACCTAAGTACAAGTAACCCACCAAATGCTGCATAATGGTGACACCATGAGGGACGCCATTGTTTGTGGTTGATGACGGTGCTCCGCAGCATTAAGTGAAGCATAGAGTTATGCCGTGAAAGCTTACGACCTTGGCCAACCGAAGCCCAGCCTGAATCCACACGTTGAATATTAACTGCTGCCTCGTCCTCTTGTTTTTTTTTTTTTTTTCTCGATATGTTCTGTGGTGTTAGCAGTGCTAGTTCTGGTTAGTTCCCTGCCTCATGCCTCGTCTCCTTAGCTCAGTAGTCCAGCACCTTGTTGGCTCTGACATATATGTTTTTTTTCCCCTCAGTCTACAGCAGTGAAGGCTTATAGTGGCGCCACAGAGTAAGAACGAAAGCTTCTTTCGCTAGAGCAGAAGGTGGAAATAATTGCTGCAGCAGCAGCAGGACAAAAAAAAGGGATGAATTGCCGAGGAATACAGTACCTCGCCGAGCTCGCTGTCAACGATACTGAAGTTCGAAGCGAGCATCTTAGATGCGTCAAGAGTCGGGCACATCTGCTTAACGGAAGAAGACGACCCAGCCAGCCCCAGAAGATCTTGACAAGGCAGTGTATGGCTGGTTTTACGAAACGAGGGCTAGGAAGATAATGATCAGCGGGTAGCCTAGTTTAACAGAAAGCACTGAACCACGCCTGCATTTTAGGCATCTACGAAAACTTCCAAAGCAAGTGTTACATGGCTCAAACGATTTAAGGAGCGCCATAAGATCGTCGGGAAGGCGCTGTGTGGGGTGTCCGCTTTTGCCGACTACGACGGTGCGTCATCGTGGATCGCGTCGACCGCTGCTGACATCGTTGAGGAGTACGCTGCTTCCGACGTGTACAATGTGGACGAGACTGGCCTGTTGTATGAAATGCTACCAGCAAACACACTTGACTTCAAAGGCAAACAGTGTTACGAAGGCAAGCAGACCAAAAAGTGAGTCACCATGTTGCTCTGTGCATATAAGGACGGATCCAATAAAGGGCCCCTTCTCGTTATCAGCAAGACCACCGAACCACAGTGCTTCAAGGGCACGAAAAACCTGTCTGTGAAGTACGTTGCCAACAGCCGTTCACGGATGATGAGGGCCATTTTCACCGACTGGATTGTTGCGTTCGACAACGACATGAAAAAGCAAGATCGCAGTGTTAGCTTGCTGCTGGATAATTGCTCAGCACATCGCCTAGACAGCAACGGCAAGCTGACGAATTTTGCGGTGAAGTTTTTTGTGCCAAACCACACATCGCTGATTCAGCCTTATTCTGTTGAACACAAAGCATGACCGCGACACCAAAGTTGACTTGCTCATTGATCAAATGTTGGCCGCCGCGTGGATGTCGACACGGCGTGACGTTGTCAAGAACTGTTTTGCGCATGCAGGGTTTTGGCCCGAAGAGATGAACTTGACCTGTACAAGTGATGGCATACAAGCTGCTGACGACGTTGGACTGGGGCAAGACGCGGAAACTGCCACAGCATCGGTAGCTCTTGAGGATGCGGGTATTGCACCAGAGAGCGCTGCCCTGAGCGATTACATTAATGCCGATGCCTACTTGATCGCGTACCCTTGAGGAGCTGAGTGATGCCAAGATCCTCAGGAGTGCCTGCATGGCTATCATCAATGCTGATTCAGCGGGACGACGATAAAGCCGCGCATGGTGCGACGCGCACACCAGTGACCGCGTCGCAGGCCACGGAGTCCTCGGACATCCTGCGTCGTTCCTTCGGCGCCCATGATGACAATGTCGCTATGCAGCTTTTCACAGAATGTGAGCAGTGCATTCTGCTGCTGCTAGTGCGAAAGCGCAAGCAGTCCAAAATAAGTGATTTTTAAATTAGGTTTCGAAAATTGACAGCTTTCTGAGGTGTCGTGCATACCCTTTTTTATTTATTTACCACTTTTTCCGCGATAACGCGATTCTCGCTACAATGAAATTTTTCGTGATTCCAGTGAACTTCATTGTAGTGGAGTTTGACTGTACCCCCTGAATGCATATGCAACATTTGCTCATGACATGCCTAAAGGACAGTCTGACGTACTATGACTGACTTCCTGTCATGTAAAGCTGAATGGCGCACTTAGAACTGTGGTGTGGCCTATATTACACAGAGCCACAATATATCTCCCACCAGACGAGTTGTCTCGTCTGCTGCCGTGTTTCCTGGTTTTCTGTCAAACTTTCAGAATGTTCCTTGATATCACCACCAAGTTATTGTTTGATCAGTGCAAGATAGCCAAACTTTTTGCTGCCTTTTAGTCTAGGTTCCCGTTATCTTGCTACTACGCTCTCCTCTTCAGCTGACATACTTAAGTATCTTAACTATGTCAGCTGTATGTATGTCACTAGGGCTAATCTAGAAACCTGATAGGTTATCTTTCTTCTTAAAACATAAAAAATCATGACTTAAAGAAATATACAACAGTTCTACACTGCATTTACTTCGTTATATAAAGGTTTGACTGTATAAGCCCGCAAATGGTGCAATACAAAGCAATGTTTACAAGTCCAGAACCAGTACTCACTTCCAGGCATTCGGATTCATTTTAGAGTACAGCATACTTGAGTCACGGATGAATTTCAGCATGTTGTAGATCTTTTTGTTGGAGCACTGCAAAGAAGAATATGAGAGTGGAAAATGAGCACTTCATGACTACACACCAGGTACAGCAAGCGAACGTGAGCCTATCATGACTTGCGTGCGATATAGTGACTGACATATTCTTGTAAGCTCATCGCAGAAACAAAGTTTGGATGGTTCCAATCATTATTTATGTAACCTTTGGAATGTGTTACTCTCTCCCCTTTTCTGTCTCTCTCACACACACAGACACGCACTCCAGTACACTGCCAAAAATGCATAAGCATAACTGGTAAAGACAAGTATGCACATGTGGGCCTATGTGCTCACTGTCCGCAGCTGCGATATATACAGAAAAGTTTGGCAAAAAGAATGTCTGTACAGTAAGACAAATTTTTCTGTTGAAGGCCAATGATAACAACTCACCAAAAAGTCAAAATGAAACAGCAATGGTTGGCTATGAGTACACAAAATTCAGATGGCCAGATATGCAGGACTTTCAGGAACAGCTGTTCTCTTTCAACTTTTGGAAGTCAGAATATTATCAAGTCATGAATAATGTCATTTTAGGTGCATTAAATTTTATAATCTGCCACTGATAGGTCAAAGACATTACCCCATGAGATTAAAATGGCATGTACCTTGAAGGCACAAAGATATTTCCGAGTATAGCTATCAGCAGACACTGGTTTTGAGAGGGCACATAAATTAACCAAGCAACTAAGGTTCACGTAAGGGCAGAAGCCACACTTGTGACTGCGATACATTCAAACCTCATTATAAAAAAGTACCATCTTACTTGAAAATAGGCTTGCTATATCGAAATATTCACTATAAATGCATATTTCTAATACTATCTATTACACAACTATTGTTTTTTTTCCTTTATTTCGTAATAATCAATATGTCATTATGTCCACGTTTGAGTGTACTTCCTGTAGAAGAAAAAAAGCCTTTTGATTGGTTGTCAATTTTCGTGCAATAACTCGGATAGGCTTTAGCACAACTTAGCCTATTTGAGTATGTACCACCTCGCCCAAGTCAAAGTGCTAATGCAATAAGCATTGACATGATGTAGTAACACGCTGTACTGCCGTCATTGAAACATGAATATGTACACCTGAATCTCGCTGATACAAGATTCCACTGTACATAAGACTTACGGTGCGAGCAATGTATCTTCCCAAGATTATTGCAATTGAATTTTTACAGGAATTGCAATAATACAACTACAGGAATAGGTTTTTACAGAAATACCTAACGCTCCAGTTTGCTGGTTTAAATATATTTCCAATATACTTCGAGTATGTTACTGCCCACAGTGCAGAATCTGTAGCAGCTGTGGAGAGATTCATCTTTGTAGGAAGTCCAGAACTAAACACAAACATACACAAGAAAGACGAGATGACTAAAGAGCACTCAGAGAGTGGTAAAGGGCACTATCACAATACCGATTTCAATCAATTGAATTGGGTTTAGGTAAACCCTTTAACATCCAGAAATTTAAACAGATGCAAACACCCCAGTCACATGCCTCGATTTTCATTTAAGCATTACTTTCTGATCTACATATTTTGAGCATGAGGTGTATTTGAAGAATGGCGTGGTGTTCAGATATTTGAGACTCAAGCAACTTGCATTACACGCAGCCTACGCTGTTGTGACGAGTGGAGTACATTTATTAGTAATACGAGGATTTAGATGTGAAAAGAGGACAAAAACGTGTGTGATGTGTGGCGCCGCCGCTCATGATGAAACAGGGAGAAGAAGAAAAGAGAGATTGGAACGCTCGAGAAACCAGGCGGTTCGAGGCAGTCGGACAGCAGAAGTGATCGAGGGTTGTGACGGCTACCGGTCAGTTGCGGCGCCGAACCCCTTACGAATGGGCCCAAGGCGAACCTGGACGGCGAGCGACGCTGGGCGACGACGGAAGAAGCATCACCGTCGAGACCCCCTAGCGAATTTGGTGACTCCAGGGGCAACCAAGCCAGGCAAGCTGACGCCTAGCTGCGAGACTGGCTTACCAGTGTTCCAGGCGTTGCTGCAAGCACGCGTCTGGCCAGTGACGCTACAGCGAAGCAGCCGTCCTAGCGACTGTCGTGATAGCAACACCACGACCTCAATGGTGACGTTAGACCATATCGTCGACAGCGACTGTGCGAGTAGCTCACATACAGTGTGGTGCTAAATAGCTGCGCGGTGTCAGGGTCGCAGGGAACCGCGTACTGTAACTGAGGAACTGCAAGGGACATAGCGCCGCAAAGATAAAAATATCATTTATGTTACTGTAGACCCTTCTTATAAATGTGTGTCCATGTGGTATAAACGTGCTGCCTTTGTTTACGTGGCATCTCTTGTCCTTTGAGAACCTGGGCCCACACGAACCTGTCACAGCTGTATCGCAAATGGTCCTGGATACTGTAAGGCGACAGACTTGCCTCAAGCCCCAGCTCTTATTTATTAGAACTTTTTAAAAACTAGATTGCCATGGGACGCTCAGGTTTATTACAAGTGTTCTAAAGGAGTGTGTATTAGCACGACTTCTTGTTACTCACCTTTAGTATGTATTCACCCTCTGGCTCCTGTTCAGTCTTCCTGATCTTTGCAGGAGCCCCTGTGATGCCTCCAGTGATGCCTCCAGAGATGACAGTGGCAACAGACATCAACCCTATTGCCAGAAATGGAGCAAGTGGACAAGCATATCACTACTGCATGGTTACAGCACGGATATGCACATGCAATGGGTTCCACTGCACAGTCAGTTTTGCATGCTTGCTCTTCCTCTATAAAATTAGGCTTGTGTCAGACAGAATCATTAATACAAAAGTGCATATGCGAACAATGACAAACACTTTTTATTGAACATGCCTGGTGAATTTAACACCTTTGTATGCATTTTAATGCACACAGGCGAGCAGCTGCAGTACACCAGTGTGGTCCATAAAAACCAAGAATCGGGCAGTCACACTTAGAGCCAGCCATCAGTTTTTGTGAATACAACAGACTGCCTGCAAGATAAAATCATGCTGCTGCATACTTGTGCATGTACTACAGTAAAACAGTGTTAATTCAAAATCACTTGGAACGTGAGAAATCTTTGTTTAAGCAGGTTTTCAAATTAAGGAAACTTAAGGAAACATACAAAAAGTGGGATGAAAGAAACTTGAAATTATTCAAAATAATCAGGGCTGGTCGTTTGCTATGCCGGCTAGTTTGTGGCTCCAAGGGTCATGTTTTCCAGCAATACCAGGTTACAATTTCACCGCAAACAAGGAGGAACGCCATGCCTCACTGCTGCCACCGCAAAAAAGAAGGGGAGAAAAAAAATTATGATCAACGAATATGCGCACCTCGAAAGACAAGACACCTTCACTGCAGCACAGTAGTGACACGCGAACAGCATGTCGCCTGCTCCTCACTGCGTCAGCAGATCATGATGTCACCAATCCCCCTTCTTTTTAATAAAACAAAGAATTTAATAACGAACAGTGAGATGAAATTTGCGATATGTTTTGGCTGGAAAACATGATTATTGAAGCTTTCTAACGGAGTTTTCGAAACAGGCATTGCAGGCAAGAACTCCACCAGCAGTGCAAGTGCGAAAAATGCTGGAGCAAGTGGCACTCGAAGATTTGCATACAGTAGAACTTCGATTATACCCCTCCCCGCCCCCACCCGGTTCTGAGACGACCTGCATTTTAAGACGAATCGGTTAGGTCCCGGCAAAATCCCCATAGGAATAATGTAATAAAAACCTTGGTTATATGACGTAGTTGTATGCCGACCCCGCATCTTACGATGACATTCAGATTTTGTCCAAAAGAAAAAAGAATGCCTTCACTCGCATCAAGCGTGGACCAAATATTCACGAGTGTAAAGTATAAACTTGCGTTCCCCTAGGTTGACGATTATAAAAATGGAGAGCGAGACAGATGTCCCCTTTTTGGAATGGAAAATTTATTCTCCTGGAAGTTCATGCGCTTCTACACACGCCGCAATCGCGGGTGCACGTATCTGGGGTCGTTACCTAGTCAAGCTCTATCCACACAAAGAAGCTGCAGCCGGCCGAAAAGCTAATATTTTCTCGTTTTAGGTCCATGGAAACATTTTCTGGTCGACATACAGCTGACCTCGTGCCTTTGTCACACTCGCAGTCACAGGTTTGCGGACGCATAAGAGCGCAACGGGGCTGTTTCCAATGTGAAAGATTACTTTCACTTGATGTTGACGTGAATACTAATAGCGGGACATCACTAGTTGCCCTTCACAAAGCCACAAATTACAACGTGCATAGCTCAGTCGCACACGAAGGCATTCTACGTACACTCGTGGTCGGTCGCCATTATGTGATAGCGATGACACTGTGTCTCTCTTCTGATGGGAGACTAGTGGCAACACGGTCTCATTTTCATGTGCAGGCAATTTTCGGACTCTATTTATTGATAGAAAGATGCACGTTAGATTCAATTCTTTTTAAACTTTGAGAATAGTGATTCGCTCGCACCTCTTTCAGCAAAGTTACGCTGCCATTAGCTTTCGCTGGCAAGAATAATTTAATCAACCTTTCTAGCAGAGGCACAAGGTCGTGCTGTGGGCTTATTCAAGTGGTCTATACCCATTTTTTGGGGTAAGGCTGAGTGTCATTGCTATATTCTTAGTTTTTCGATTATACGACGCCCGGATTATACGACGGTTCTGCAAGGTCCCCTGAAAGTCGTATAATAGGGGTTTCACTGTACATAGCGAATTCCGCCAGACTGTCCTTTACTAATTTCTTTATATTCCCAGAAAGAATGAGTAAATCATGAGGCGCTGACGTTGCTAGAAGCATGCAATATTCTGACCACACGTCACCACTGCCTTGCAGTGAAAAATGTTGTTTTCCGCAGGTGCACATTTCAGTTGATACCGCGATCATTTAATTTTTTACAACTTTATTTTTTGAGTTGGAAGTATCAACGTTGGCGGGCTTCAGCTGCTACTCATTAGTATCGCTAAGTACATTGCCTAGTGGCTCATAAGATCTGTCGTTTCTGCGGTGAAATCGGTATCGGGAATTAGCACACTGCAACCAAAGTTTTCTAATTAACTGGACCGGTGCAGACCACTGCTTCAAATTGACCGCTCAAACTTGCATTGCAAAGTACGGGACCGCGGAAATACTCTGAACTAAACGGCATTTCGAAATATCCAAGTTCGAATTAATGACGTTTTACTGTAAAAGAGAGTGCATTCACACCTCATTCCATCGGTTGCCATACCCCAAGTAAAACTGATGCTGGCTCTTTATAATTGCATTGAAAAAAAAAAAAAAGGAAAGAGAGAAATATATAAATGTTGGCACATAGGCTGGTAAAATGAAAACTATTGCAATGCTTCGAGTTTACTTCTACTGATTTGAACCAGCATGCCGTACCGCTGAGTTCCTAGCAGCTGCTAACATTACTCACTTGATATCCTGGAGTGCAGACTCAAGCTTCCTCATTTTTATAACACATTACATTGACAATATTTGTTACACTAGTTGTATGAGACTAGCGGGCTTACTGTATTGAGGCACTAATAAATGCCTTTGAACTTGTTTGCACTGGAATGCCATTTCTTAGTAGAGACACCACAAATGGCATAAAACCAATGTCATGCACCATCGGAGCAACATATAACCCTTGCTGTAACAGTTGCAATATCATACCGAACCACCACTTACCTCTCTTCTGAGGACGCGTCTGGTTGAATGAGGTATTATTGGATGAAAGGCGAGAAGGGTTATTGGCCACTGGATGGGCGACTGAGCCTCCTGTTACCCCTTCCAGCAAGCTACTGTTCATTTCTCGAAAGGTCATCCTCTCTTCATTTTTGCGGTCTCTGCCAGGGCAGGCACACAACTTGAGGTCGATGACTTGCCTGCCAATTATGTTGCCACTGAAACAAGAAGCAAGGCCAAAGACGGTTACTCCAAAACCTCACTAATACTGGGTAGCTCGTTGGAATGCAGAATAATCAACATCAAATTCAATAGCATACACCCCCTCAAAAATATATAAATAAAAAGTTAAAAAAAATGTGAACACACATTAGATGCTACTAAAGTTTGCAGCTATGAGTAGAGACAACTATGAGCAGAGATGATACACTTTTCTGCAGGGCCCCAGCATACAGCGGTGAAGGTGGCTTAAGCTTTGTTCTATTCCGTTGTGCATGGGATAGAACAAGGCCAAAAATTTTTCGAACCACCCCGTCCCCTTTCCCTCTTTTATGGTGGGATTAGGTTCAGCACACAACTTCTCGACTCGCTTGCAGGGTGTGATCAACAAGATTAAGTAATGATGGCACATGTTTACTGGCCTGGTGACAGCACTGGATATCCCTCAGTGGGACCGTGCAACTTCAAGACTGAAAACTTCTGTGTTCCGTTGCTATGGCAACCAATGTTGTCAGTGGCAATGCTGGTGTTCGCAGCACGTAGATTTGTCACACAGAAAATGTGACATATGCTTCTAGCTTTAGTTCCCAACATTCCATAGCCCTGTCCGCTGACTGCAAACGTAAGCTTTCGCATGAAGTGTTGATAGCTATGACAACGCATTTTTTAGGCTGCGTCATCCTGCCAATAAGTATTTGCTGCGGCCAGCAGACCTGATGGGCGGGCCGCGTTCTTACTGTGTCTGGTAAATTTTGTCTCGCGAGTGTTCTGATCTAAAGAGTATAACTCCTACACCAGTGGTTTAGAGTTAGGGTCTGTGCACCTGGACTAGATTAGTTGATGACACAAACTGCAGGCAGCCAATGTGGCCTCTATTTCTCGCTGAAATTAGCCCAAATTACAAAACCTTAAGGCTGGTCAGGCAATTTGCCAAGCATGGCACAATTTCCACAAGTTTCATGGTTTCGACTCAGCTTGGCACGAAAATTGGCGCAGCTGTTGCACCCCTATGTCTAGGGATCCCGTACAACTTTTTTTTTTTCTATAGTTTCTCTTCGAAATACTAGAAAAATATTTTCAAAATATTTGAAAATTATTCTTTCTTTCTTTATTCAATACTGTGAACCTTACACAGCTTCAAGCAGGGTGACGGTGTTCGATTTGATTCAGACTATAACTTTAATGTTCGAATTCGCTTCACACTCAAGATATTGCTATTCGCACAACTATACTTACCAATGTACTGTCTTCAACATAATTAGAGCAAAACCTCAATGTATCGAAGTCCATAAAATTGATAATTTACTTTACTACATTGAAACTTCACTGGTTTAAATTGTTGCACTGCAGAAGCCACTGAAAGTTCATTTTAATAAGAATGCATGTAACTCCATGACATATGGTGTCAAGGCAAAGGTTGCAAGAAATAAGCAACAGCAGCATGCTGATTGATTTGGGAGTTGACGTAATATAAAAAAAAGACAAAAGAAAGAAAAGGAAGACGCATTCATAGGTACTCCATCACAATGCCTTGCCACAGTGGTATTAATTAAACTCTGTCATTAACTATAACAATTACCTGGCTGCGCACGTGCTAAACAAGGGCATGATCTAGTCATGGTCCTTCCACACGGGGGCAAGCATTCAGGTCATACGATCAGCCGTGAATGCTGGCGTGAGGACAATGTGGCATGCCTTCCATCTTAATGCACATACATGCAAAAACAATCAGGCAGCTGCTGGCATCAGAAGTTCAGTTTATTGGTGAAAGCAGGTTGGATGCATTTGAGCCATAACTGCCCACCTTCCCTGCCTGCGTTCGCTTTCAGTCAGAAGCATGCAATATCAAGATTGGCTTAATTACTGAGGGACAGATGCATTTTGGCTGCTGGCCTCAGGCAGTGGCCCACCACTTTTTTGCCAGTTGGCATTGAAAGTATAAAAGCAAGACACTCGCTGCTGCATAACTGCAGCAACCTGATAAATCACACCTCTATTGCTGGTTCTACATCTGTTGTGTGATTTGACTTCATGCCAACTTCTCTGTCAGCCAAACAACCATTAATGGCAGCATCAGGAATTCCATGCTACTGGAATGATATGTATTTGTGCCCAAATATGCATCATTTTTACAAGTTGCTTAGCTTTATTACTATAACCTGCTATAAACTGAACAACCATAAAGTTCAAAAGCCAATGTTAGCATCACAGCCTATTCTCAAACACAGCGTCACTTACTTGTTCTCAAGGGTCCACACAAGCTTGACACCACGCCGGTTTATGCCTGTATTGCATGAACTGAGGCACATGAAGCGCAGATGGTAGACCGTGTACCGCATCTCAGCTGGGCATACAAACATGAGACAAGAAGACTGTTGATTGAGAGAGAGAGCAGGGACGTAACACTGTGTGATCTTACAAAGTAGGTTGAGTCTGTAAAGCCATTGTCCGCGCATGCAGAAACCCAGGTGCGGGCATATGCAGCGCATATGCCCGCACTTGGGTTAAGCATGCTTGAATCAAGCGCACTTGAATTAAGGTCGCGGGTTCGATTCCCGGCTGCGGCGGCTGCATTTCCGATGGAGGCGGAAATGTTATAGGCCCGTGTGCTCAGATGTGGGTGCACGTTAAAGAACCCCAGGTGGTCGAAATTTCCGGAGCCCTCCACTACGGCGTCTCTCATAATCATATGGTGGTTTTGGGACGTTAAACCGCACAAATCAATCAATCATCAATCGCACTTGAATTAAGCGTGTTCGAATTAATGAGATTCAACTGTGTTTTGTTTTTCGTCGCACGCGTGGTCACGTAGCGGTACATCGGGCCGCGACGTGGTTTCCTTCTTTGCATGCTTATAGGTGTGCGTCCATCTAAGCGAGCACACATTGCCACAAACTGTTATAATCGATATAAGGAAATAATGGATATAACGAAATAATTGTGGCTCCCCTTCAACTTCGTTATAACGAGGTTTGAGTGTACATTAATTTGCATTGTAACCCCCTGTAAAAGTGGTTTGAATGAATTGAAGTGGTGCTAAGCCATGGGCAGTGGTGATCCAGCCACTTCAACTTTTGGAGCAATTTTTGGAGCAGAGAAAATGCTCTTTTGGAGCACCTTTGTATCGGCACTCGATTTTTGGAGCAGCAATTGTAGCAGCAACTTATTTTACAAAAATACATCTCTCATTATTGCTGAAACTAAAGCTGTGATAGCAACCACAGTTCTATAAAACCGTATTTGTCTCAATTCTCAATTATTAATTAGAGTGTCACGTGCATGCCGATTTTAAAAGCCACCAAGAAATGGACCAGTCCATCAGATTTAATGCACTACTGAAAATGAAGGTAGTGCAGGTGTAGCATTAGTTTATTAAAGTACACTAAAAGCTACGACGAAAATTCCCAGAAACCGAACTGTAAGGAGAGTTTTGAACTTTCATTTATTTACAGAAGAAAGATGTGCATGTTGCAGCATTTACGTCCTCTTGCTCACCTTCTTGCTTAGTTCTTCCAGCTGTGAGAGGGTTTGGCTCAAAGCGGAGTTGCCTTCAGCTAATAAAGTTTGCCCAGCTTCAACTTGTTCCAGGCTCTTAGAACGCAGACCAGAAGAAATTATGTCTTCTGCTCGTTTCAGCAATGCCCTACTTGAGGTGACCTTTTCTTCCAAGTTCTTACGAAGTCGCTTTTCGTCGACATCAGCACCAGTGTCTTGGTCTCCAAGCCTTTTCCTGCTTTCTGACTGCTGTGCACTTGCAGTTCTCTCTGTGTATCGGGCTCTAGATCTCCTTACACTTTGCAGAAGCTCTGTAGACAAGGGAACTTTAGTGGCATCTCCATCATACCTGCGGAGGTATGTCTTTGTCTGGCGCAACCCGTTAATGCTTGCAATGCATAATGAGTAGCGGTTCTCATAAAAGCGCTTATTTTCGCTAAATCCTCGTTCGCAGTCTGCGTTGCCATGTGGCAGGCACAGCAGACACTTGACAAGCCTCGACAATAATGGATACTTTGGTTGACCTCCAGGAGACTTCAGTTCAAATATTTTGCCCCAACGAACATCAATTCTTTCACCTCCAAGTGCCAGGAGGTCACTGTTTGAGTCACACTTTAACATATGCCACTCATCGATGGCTGAGGAAACTTCTTCATGTTTGATTACCTGTGGAAGCTGAGACACAAGGTACTTCAGTGCTCGCACTTCCGATTCAACATTTGTTGACTGCCAATTGAGGAGGCTAGCAGATTGAAGAACTCTATTGTCGAGTGGAAGCTTCTGAAGAAGATCCTTGGCACAGGCCAAGTAAAAAGCACGTGCTCCAAGATAAAACCGCTTCTTCTCACTAGAGTCCCACTCAAGCATTGATTTTTCAGTATCTGTACCAACTTCCGGCCTTGATTTCCAAAGGGATGCATCCATCACATCTAGCCTTTTCAGTTGTTCAGCGGTCTTGTCTGCAAAGGCTTCATGACGAAGAAACCGACTGAGGACTCGTTGGACTAGAACAATAAGTTCAACGTGAAGTATGTGCAAGAGCGGCTCTTGCTTTTGGAAGAGCAGCTGAAATCCACTGAAAAGCTGCGCACAGTTCTTAAGGAACAACACTTTGGCCAAAAGTTGTTTCTCAGAAAATGCCGACACAAGCTTGTTGTGTAGGCTTTGGGTGTCAGGTCGTTGACGAGATGAATTGCCCTTAAAAAAATAGGTGCGAAGCGCTTCAAACTGTTCCTCAACTCGGCAAAGTGAGTCTTGTAGCGTCAGCCAGCGATTAGAAACGTGGCGCAGAAATACATGACAAGAGATTCCCAAAGTATCCTGGCATTCTCTGAGTGCTTCAGCGCGGACAGCACCTTTGAAGTAGTAGTAAATATTTCTCACTACTTCTTCTACATCTAAGCCAAATGCATCCAGGCCTCTGCCAAATGCATTGTGAACCTTATGAAGATTGCAGTTGCCAATATCAATCAAACTTGGTGCCACATGCTTCTGAAGCTTGTTTCTTACGCTCTTCATAACATTAGGGCCATCACTGAAAAAGCAAACAAGTCCTTGCTTTGGAAGATCTGCTATTGCTTCTTCTATGCAGCCAACAATTATTTCAGCGGTTGCACGCCCAAGATCAAATGACTGGACATGTTCAACAACAACTTCCTGTTGGCTGCTGGAAAAATAGCGTACCAGCACATCTAGTTGCTGCACCCTTAGCTCTGGCTTTGGCGTCTCATCAATCATAATGGAAAAATAGACATTTGGCTGGCACAGCTCAGTCACCACTTGTCCTTTAAAGTAGGGACCCAGTCCATCTGATACAATGCGGGCCAACTTTATTCTGCCGCAACTAAACTTTTTGGCAATGTCACTGTCGGGGAACATGCAGTGATAAATCGAAGTTGCCGTGTCTCCCCATGAAAAAGGAATTCCCTTGGCCACAACAGACAAAGCAAAAGTAGTTTCTGCCTTGCTGACTTGGTGCTCAAGTGATGTATTAGCAGACCCGTTGGAGAAGTCCAGTGTGCCTTGCACCAATTTGGGTGGAAGAAGATTCCCGTCCTTGTCTCTGTGTCTAGCAGCTGCATCAATATGTTTCTTCATCCCAGCATGACGCTTCACTGCTGCCGCTCCATGCTGTGCGCAAGAAATGGTGCAGTTGCAAAGAATACAAAATGCATCTGTATTTCGGGTTCCACTCTTGCACCACCGACTGATCGGATCATTATTGGAGTCCACCTCGTTGAGTACAGAGGCGTTGAACTTGGTGTTGCGATCTGAAAACATGAGCGAAACGAACTTTATGACAGTAAACTTTGCCAAGTTTTTTTTCAGAGCGTGAATATAGGTAAAAGCAACAGGGTAGACAGAAAGAGCACTGACTTCTAACTTTATATCACAGAGTGGCAAGAATATATATGCCCAAAAAAAGGATGATTAAAAACATGACAAAATACAAGCCTAGTCAATGCGTCAGTATAAAAAACTTGCAAATGTGACTACGCACCAACTAGCCCAAGGTTCCGCTCTTGTAAATTTTCCCACGACAAAGGCACGCTAGTAAAAAGAGCACGTAACTACTAGATTTATTTTTAGGGTAGCCCGTAACATAATGCCAACCTTACTTCATTGGAAGATCTAAATACCAACTCTAAGGCGCCAACACCAAATATTTGCGCAAGCATTTTGGGTACAGCCTCGACAAATGGCGCGAATCGGGATGCCAGTTGTCTGTCGACCATTCACACCTAAAACTCGCGACCAACTTACAGGAAGTTGCCATGCGGATGACGCGTGGGTCTGACGGCCGCAGACAAACGCATTGCCCCAGCTGGCAAGGCGGCATAAGGCGCTAATGTATGTTGGAGGTTTGCTTCCTTCCGGCGCGGCGCGCGATGACCAGAGCAGAAATCGACAGCAATGTTTTCCTTAAATTAAATATTTAAAAAAGCTGATTGGGAACGGCACGTCACGAATAGCGGATTCCCAACGATCGGCGGCCGCTAATGCGGTAACATTACGGTGCTTATTGACTTGCTTGTGTTGACATGGTCGACGCTCAATCACTCTTTTCCGACTATTCTACAAGCAGCTCGCACGGTGGGGCGCCCGATCCGTGACGCGCCGGCAGCACATACGGCCCATCTAGCGATCTGCTAACGTCAACAAAAGCGACCCGCCTGCAGAAATTCTTTGTGTATTCCGCATCACTCGCTCGTTCGTTTCGCACTATTATATGTTCCGAACGGTAGCATGTAGGAGGTGTAACTGCTGCATGCCGTACGAGCGATTGCGCGTTTCAAATGCGGATATTCCGCACTACGAAACAAGGCATGGCGCACATTCCTAAGCCTACGTACAGCGCTCGGACACTCCGAACACAAAAACCATCAGTAGCGAGAAATCGGAAGAACTATAGGCAAGTTGCAACTTCTGTACTGATTCAATAGCAAAGTGCGGCCGGTAATAAATGCCAGCAGCGCTACGCGATCGCCTAAGCATTCACTAAAGTATTTCACGGGCGCTATTAAGAAATGCCACAAAATTTAAAAAGAAAGCGACTTACTTTTGTCCATTTCAACAGCGGGGGGATGACAAACATTCGCTGACTGGTTGTTCACAAGCACATGGCGCACATGCAACGACACGACGTGCTGTGCATGAGCGCGAAAACCTACAGAAAACACCCGAACGACACCGACGAATACCAAAGCTGCAAAGCACATGGTAAACAGTTGCCAACCTAGAAAAAAATTCACTTGTTGCCAACTGCAAAATGAACATCCGCTAAAGTCGGGTTCTTTCGTGCAATTTGGCGCATTTGGCGCAAACAAAACAACACTTGCGCAGTAAGGCGCAGGAAGGTATAATTGTAGCAAATTGGCGCAAATGGCGCAGCTGGATCACTACTGCATGGGGTGCGGCGATGGCGTAGTGGTTAGAGCATCCGCCTCGCATGCAAGAGGTCCGTGGCTCAAATCCCAATGCCGCGCAGTTCCCAACCGGAAAAAAAAAAAAAAAAAGAAAATCCGCGTGTTGATGAAACTGCATTAAGAGGCCTGGGGTGCGGCCTCACTGGTGACCACCGCCGGGAACGCACTCCCTCACCAGAGAAGGATTGGCCACCCTGGTGCAGTATCTGGCCACTACCTCGCACATGCATACGTCAAATAACTCACGGCCCTCAGTTCCCAGCAGCTGCGAAGCAACTGACCATAGCGGCGGTCAGATCTGCAACGCAGCAGAGGGTGCTAAGAATCTCTGGACTACAGGCCGCCTTTGGAACCTGAACTTGGCAACGTTTAACGCTAGAACCTTATCTAGTGAGGGAAGTCTAGCTGTACTATTCGAGGAGCTAGAGGGTGCTAAATGGGATATAATAGGGCTCAGTGAGGTTAGGAGGACAGATGAGGCCTATACTGTGCTACAGAATGGGCACGTCCTTTGCTATCGGGGCTTGGCAGACAGAAGAGAACTGGGAGTGGGGTTCCTAATTCACAGAAACATAGCTGGCAACATAGAGGAATACTATAGCATTAATGAAAGGGTGGTAGGTATTGTAATTAAACTGAATAAAAGATACAAGATGAAGGTAGTACAGGCTTACGCGCCTACATCTAGCCATGATGACGCTTCAGTTGAAAGCTTCTATGAAGACGTGGAATCGGCAATGAGTAAGGTAAAAACACAGTATATACTATAGTGATGGGCGACTTTAATGCAAAGGTAGGGAAGAAGCAGGCTGGAGACCAGGCAGTAGGAGATTATGGCATCGGCACTAGAAACGCCAAAGGAGAGCTACTAGTAGGATTCGCAGAACGCAATAATTTGCGGATTTTGAAAACTTTCTACCGAAAACGAGAAAACCACAAGTGGACATGGAGAAAATAAGAACGAAATAGACTTTATAATGACTGCACACCCAGGAATCGTGCAGGATGTGGAAGTGGTTGGCAAGGTACGGTGCAGTGACCATAGAATGGTAAGGTCTCGAATTCGCCTAAACTTGAAGAAGGAACGACAGAAACTGATACGCAAGAAGCCAATCAATGAGCTATCACTGAGAGGGAAAGTACAGGAATTCAGAGTGTCGCTGCAGAACAGATACTCGGCTCTTAGTGAGGAAACCAACCTTAGCGTAGATACAATGAATGATAATCTAACGAGTATCATTACGGAGTGTGCAGTGGAAGTTGGAGGCAGGGTAGTTAGACAGGACACTGGCAAGCTTTCCCAGCAAATGAAGAACCTAATTAAGAAGCGTCAAAGCATGAAAGTTTCAAGTACAACAGACAAAATAGAACTAGCAGAGCTTTCAAAGTTGATTAATAGATGTAAAGTATGCGATGTAAGAAGGTATAACATGGAGAGAATTGAACACACTCTGAAAAACGGAGGAAGCGTCAAAGCAGAGAAGAGGAAACTTGGGATAGGCAAAAGTCGGATGTATGCACTAAGGGACAAAGAAGGCAAAATAACTACCAATATGGATAGGATAGTTAAAATAGCGGAGGAGTTTTACAGAGATCTGTACAGTAGCCGAGACAACCACGACCTTAATACTATAAAAACTAGCAGTAACCCAGATGACACCCCACCAGTAATGATAGAAGAAGTCAGAAAAGCTTTGGAGTGCATGCAAAGAGGCAAAGCTGCTGGTGAGGATCAGGTAACATCAGATCTGCTGAAAGATGGAGGACAGATTGTGTTAGAAAAACTAGCCACCCTGTTTACGAGGTGTCTCCTGACGGGAAGGGTACCAGAGTCTTGGAAGAACGCTAACATAATCTTAATACATAAGAAAGGAGATGAAAAGGACTTGAAGAATTACAGGCCGATCAGCTTGCTCTCTGTAGTATACAAGCTATTTACAAAGGTAATTGCTAACAGAGTAAAGAAAACATTAGAATTCAATCAACCAAAGGAACAAGCATGATTTCGAACAGGCTACTCAACAATTGACCACATTCATACTATCAATCAGGTAATAGAGAAATGCTCAGAGTATAACCAACCACTATACATAGCCTTCATAGATTATGAGAAGGCGTTTGATTCAGTAGAAATATCAGCCGTCATGCAGACACTGCGGAATCAGGGCGTAGATGAAGTATATATAAACATTCTGGAAGAAATCTACAGGGGATCAACTGCTAGCATAGTGCTTCATAAAGAAAGCAACAGAATACCAATCAAGAAGGGTGTAAGGCAGGGCGACACAATCTCCCCAATGCTATTTACCGCGTGCTTACAGGAGGTTTTCAGAAGCCTAGAATGGGAACAGTTAGGGATAAGAGTTAATGGAGAGCACCTTAGGAACCTGCGCTTCGCCGATGACATTGCATTGCTGAGTAACTCAGGAGACGAATTGCAACTCATGATTACGGAGTTAGACAAGGAGAGCAGAAAGGTGGGTCTTATAATTAATCTGCAGAAAACGAAAGTAATGTACAACAACCTCGGAAAGGAGCAGCGCTTCGAGATAGGTAATAGTGCACTTGAAGTTGTAAAAGACTATGTCTACTTAGGGCAGGTAATAACCGCAGAGCCTAACCACGAGATTGAAGTAACTAGAAGAATAAGAATGAAGTGGAGTACATTCGGCAAGCACTCTCAAATTATGACAGGTAGATTGCCACTATCCCTCAAGAGGAAGGTATATAACAGCTGTATCTTGCTGGTACTTACCTACGGAGCAGAAACCTGGAGACCTACAAAGAGGGTTCAGTTTAATTGAGGACGACGCAGCGAGCAATGGAAAGAAAAATGGTAGGTGTAACCTTGAGAGACAACAAGAGAGCAGAGTGGATTAGGGGACAAACGGGGGTTAAGGATATCATAGTTGAAATAAAGAAGAGGAAATGGACATGGGCCGGGCATGTAGCGCGTAGACAGGATAACCGCTGGTCATTAAGGGTAACTAACTGGATTCCCAGAGAAGGGAAGCGGGTTAGGGGGAGACAGAAGGTTAGGTGGGCAGACGAGATTAAGAAGTTTGCTGGTATAAATTGGCAGCAGCAAGCACAGGACCGGGTTAACTGGCGGAACATGGGAGAGGCCTTTGTCCTGCAGTGGACGTAGTCAGGCTGATGATGATGAAGCCATGAAAACATCTATCCAGGACAAAGTCACACTGCCGAGAAGCTCCTTTTCAAGGTGAAATGAGCGCATCACCCTCTCATCGAATTGTCGTTTTTAAGATATCTAAGTTGAAAGATTTGTTATACCAACTTATGCTCTAGGCAAAGTGGCAAAGAAACTTTAAAGCCTAACATACTTTACAGGTTATCCAAATCCTGCTACTAATCAATATTGTTCCCACTTCCTTCGAACTAAAAAGAATGGCATTTGCACAGGTTATGTTACAACTTTTAAGAAATATTGTGCAGGTTAGTTGGGTCATGACAAATATGCCAATTTTTCTTTATAATATGTGATATATATTACATACGAATTCGATTCGAGATAAATCGATACGCTTCGAATTTGCTTCAAACCTACAATTCACTATTCACACAAGTCTAGAAAAAAACCTCTTACACAGCTATGTACTTCTTGTAATAAAAAATTGTGAATGCGTGTGTTGCATAAGGAACACAATTCAGAGCTCATTCTCCACAGCTTGGCAGCAAACATAACCGAAGGGGACTCGCACATACCTTCAGGTTTCTCATACAGGACAGTGATGCTGTGACGGCCAGTTGCCTTATCTTCATGGTAACGTGTTGTTGGGTTTACACACCTGATGAGATGGTCACACGGTGCATTCTGGTCTGCAAACAAAGAAAATAAATGTCTAATACAAGCATTTCCCAAACAAAAAAGCACACCACCATGTTGAGGACGAACTTACCCATATGTTCTAGAAAGGGGCAGAGAGAAATTGTGGCAAAAAATTTACAATTCAGTGACCCGAAACTTGCTCCATTTCACCAAAAAATTGAAGTATTCATAGAAATATTGAGGAAGTGTATCAGCAGAAAACAATATAATTTGACAACAGTGTCTGCCACAATCAAATTCAGTGAACTCACTTTTGAGCGGGCTGCAATGTGCCTGAAGCCATCATGAGTGCTCACACAATAATTGGGAGCATTCGTCACACTGCTGGCAGCAATGTAAAGGGGAAGCATGTGTGCTGTCAACTGCCCCAGTATTTAACCCTTTGAGTGTTCAATTTTAAGGCGAAGACTCACAGTGACCAGTGTTCAGTACCCTGGCATAGTTCCAGTTGTGGAGTCTCCTCCTTAGGCAAGATAAACAAGCCTTATGAGTGCCGGAATGCGGATGCCGTTTACATAACACGCAAAACGCAAGAATACGAACGCATGTGAAACAAAGGAGATTAGTCTCTTGTTTCACAGTGTTCAGAGATAAAAATAAAAAAAAAAAAAACATGCACACATTTTGTTTGTGTGCCACACGACTGGAAGTGCAAAAAGTCCACCAGGCCTGCTAGAATGGGCAACACAGTCACAGCTAAAGCTGGACGGGTAGCCTTTCAGAGCCTTTTCTAAGCACTGTTTGAGTAACTACTACAAGCGCATTTGCTGGGTACCCACTATGCCATAAATAATCATAATTTTTGTGTAGTCCACTATGCATTGCTTCGTCATTGTTCAGAGATGCGTGGTATCTGCTACACACTTGCCAAGAATTTCGTGCATTTTTTTTATGATGAAGAATTGTGCCTGAAGTGGGTATGTGCCATAGTTAATAGGTGATAAACAACAAGCTTTTGTTATGGATTGAAGCATAGGACGACCCACTCGTTATGCAATTCATATTGTGTGACGCCTTGTTGTTCCTTTGATGTTCTAGAACACTTTATTACACATATTATTGCGATTCCTTTCTCGTCATCAAGCCTGCCTAAGGCCAGTTTGGCAACGAGTTTCAAGCACCGGCATGGCTCAGTGGTAGAATACTGGGCTGGCACGCAGGGGACCAAGGTTTTAATACTGTTGTGTCCTCGGTGTTCTTTATTTACTGAATTTTCTTTCTTATTTCCTGCACCGGCAACGGCAGACAACTACGGGGCCGCTTGTGATCCGTGTTGTTATTTTATAACAGCTTTCCATGTAAAAAAAAAAGACATGGTCTAGTCCATCGAATGAACACAGGCTCTTGCTGAACAGGATTCGGAATTTACTAAGCGCCCCAACACTTTGCTGAGAAAATATTTCCCACATGGTCAAATTATTTTATTGCAGTTTTAGAATGTACAAAATGAGTAAAGTTGGGAACAAATCGTAAAAAACAAATTAGAAACGGTTCTTAGGTGTGATCATCACTCAGAACTGCAAAACATTGAATGGTACTTCAGATTGTGGTACCCCTTGAAACGCAGGTCTATGTGCAATGCCTTTTCAGCCAGCTAGTGATTGCATAAATTGGCTAATTAAGTGATTAAATGACAAATAGTGAATTTAAATAATGTGGCTGCCTGTGCACACCGGCACAACATATACCGTAATTACTCGAATCTAACGCGCACCTTTTTTCCGGTTAAGCGAGTTCATAAATCGCATGCGCGTTAGAATCGAGTACGAACAAAAAAATTACGGTCAATCTATTGCCATCGCAAATCCAAGATGGCCGCCCCCTACGTGCGTCGGCATGGTGCACGGAGGCTTCCTCCGTGGAATGGTGCGTCGGCTATTTCTGCCTATGTGTTTACCATGTGCGACACTTCGTGCGTGTGCTGAGGAGTTCGTCATCTAGTAGTGCATTAGCATCGACGACGTGGAAGGGCCGACTCCAAAAACTCGAGTGCACCACGATGCCGCTTTTAAAAGAAAAGTCATCGCGTGTGCAGAAACGGACGGAAATCGGGCCGCATCGCGGTCCTTCTCGAAACGTGCGTGCGGGACCGGCGGAAACAAAAGCAGAAGATTGTCGACAGCAAAGCTTCACGCAAAGGCTTCAGTGAACCACAGCAGGGTCGGTTTCCGCAAATTGAAGAGCTGCTCCGCGAGTATGTGCTGGAGGAGCGAGCGGCACAGCGGCCCATGACGACAGAACTGCTCCAAGTGCGGGCTATGCAATTAGTCTTAGAAAAAAGTCTAGTGCGGAGCCTGTTTAAAGCAAGCAGGTGCTGGCTAATTAACTATATGAAGAGGAAAGGCTCTTCCCTTCGAAGGGGAACATGCATATGCGAAAACTTTTGCGGAGAAGTACGATGAAAAGCTTTACAGTTTTCAGAGGTTCGTCCTAAACTTGCGGCGCAACAACGCCTACCTGCTTGGGCAAATCTGGAATGCCGATCAGACGCCTCTTTACTTCGACATGCCTGGTACCACAACCGTCGAGAAGAAGGGGGGGAAGCAAGTTCGCGTGCTGACATCGGTCCACGGTAAAACTACAGTGACGGCAATGCTCTGTTACACGTCAGATGGGCACGAGCTTCGCCCGTACCTCATATTTAAATGGAAGACAATCCCGAAAGGAATCGTTTTTTCGAGTGGTGTGATCGTGCGGGCCAGCAAAAAAAAAAAATGGGTGCGCGTTGCAATCGATGTCTTACGTTTTTTTTTTTTTTTTCGCGGTGGAAATCGGGTGCGCGTTACAATCGAGGGCGCGGTAGAATCGAGTAAATATGGTAACTGAACTGTAGTGCATAAAAAAGCATGTAGTGTTTGTCTGTCCTATTGCTTTTTCTGTCTACACAACTTACCCAAATCATTTCATATGTGATTCTGGTTAGAAAAATTTGATATTCTTACACTAATTGATCAGGAACTTGCAGATGAATTCTTTAAATAGCGGAGACAGTGTGCACTACCAAGGTTCATACATCCACCACTCTGACTCTGTATTTTCTGTCTATGTATCAACCAATTGACCAGGACGACAGCCAGAGAAACAAGCTTGCTCACCATGGTTGTCTTTGTCAGTTTCAGATTTGTGAACAAGGCAGCGCTTGACCACATGCATGGCATCATTTGGCTGCGCATAGACTGCCATCACTCGCACCACTGTGCCTTCTGGTGGAGGCCTGGTAACAGAGATGCGAAACGGGCAGACCACACCCATGTTCGCAAAGAGCTTCCTGCGGCTCTCATTATACTGCAAAAAGAATGATAAGCACGAACAGTGAAAATCAGTGAGTTTCATCAGGCCCATATCTGTATTAAACATGTTTTATTATTATTGTGCTCGCCTCGCAGTAGCTTTTCTAATACAATCAGAAAAGGCATGTTGCTAGCCAGCCAGATAACGGGCAAAGTGCCTATAATGTTTTCAAATAGGTTAGTGCAAATAGCCGAGCACTTCCAATATTTAAATGAATAACGTAGATGAATTTAAATTACTGAAAACTCTGACATATTAAAAATGAACGAATAGATCTACAGTCGAACCCCATTACAATGAAACCGACGGGGCACGAAAAAAAATTAGGGTGAAGCGAAAATTTCGTCGTAGGGAAATTCAAAATGATATAGCTGACCTGAGCTAGCGAAACAAAGGAAATTTTATTCACAAAATTCTAAGAATGCCGGCTGCTTTCTCTTCTTTCCCACCAGCGTCACCACGCGATCCTCATCCATGCGTTGCGATGCCATGGTGAAAAGCACGTAGAAACAATGGCCAGAGCAAATGTCCTGAACAAACCTAACAGTTGCACTAGTACGCCAGCACCAGCAGCTGTTCGCCGTCAAAGCGTATCGGACAACACCAAGATGGAGGCGTCCATCATCCACCAGTCACGGCTTGCTGATTTGGTTGATAACGCGGACAAACAGCCGCTATGACCAATGACCACACTGGCTAAGCGCCAAGAAAACCAAAAGCATTGGCATTGCATTAGCATCAAAAAAGCCACTGTTCCACGATTGCAATCAGCAGCAGCGTGTAAAAAACCGAGCGACTGAGCTTCAGCTTCGAATTGTCTGCGGCTCAGAAGAAAGCCAGTGGCAGATGCGGGTAGTCTCATTGCCATCGCTATCGGGCAATGGCTGCCTCGAATGCTTAGTAAACAGCGGCAGTTTCTGGTGGTGCCAATGCGGGTGTTAGATATTGCAGACGTATAGTCAAGTTGCAAAAGTGCATCAAAATGATCAAGATTGTGTTAACTGCATGGGATTAAATATCCGCACTTGGAATTGCATCGCCACATTTCGTTGAAGCGTGTTAAAGTGCGACTTACTTGGGTCGATGGCTAAATTGGTTAACGTGGTTGTGAAATGGGGTGTTAAATTGCGACTTACTTGGGTCGATGGCTAAATTGGTTAACGTGGTTGTAGGAGGGGGTGTTAAATGAGTGAACACGTACACACGTATGCGAAAGAGCGGCGCTGGTTGAAGGGACGTCGATCATTGTGTTTGTGGATTCGTTGGAATTCATTTCACCGCGACCTTGGACGTCGACGCGCCGTACAAACCAACCGACGAGCGGCAACTGAGCGAGCGAGCGCCGACCTTGAGTATATATACAGCACGACGGCGCATGCACTGTCAGCTGTTGAATGTTCTCGAAGCGCGACGCCACATGCGCGTCCACTGGAGAATCAGGAGAATTGTAGATGTCGAACGCGGTGTGTAGAGGAGGAAGGGTGCACAGATGGTGGAGGAGTGAAGCGCGCGCGGTGTGTAGAGGAGGAAGGGATGCACAGATGATGGAAGAGTGGGCGACGGCGCGACGGCGCATGCGCGCGCGTCAGCTGTCGAATGTTCGAGAAGCGGTGCGGACGGCGCGGACGGCGCACTACAAGGCGCGAGTATAAGATGCTCCGCATCTAAAAGCGTTCATTGTAGAGAGAATATTTTTGCATTGATTCCTACGGACTGCTGACGGGGAGCCGAGAGTTTTTCGTTGTAGTGGAAATTTCGTTAAAGCGGCATTCGTTGTAGCAGGCTTTGACTGTAAATTAGGTAGTCCATCGGAAACTCCTGTAAAGGTGGTTTCACTGCAGTGTAGCAGTGCTACACTATGAACACTCTTGCAGAAAAAAAATCCGCATTCCCCCGAAGACACAATTCAAGGTTAATCAACACATTACCATGATGTCTATTTTTCACTTCAAGTTTAAAACCTTGTCATACTGATTAATATGCTTATATGACACATTTTACGTGTACTCACTTGCTTTCTACCAAAAGTCTAATCCTGCTACTTTATTATAGATTGCTTCTACTTTCTCTGAATCAAAAAGAATGACATTTGCTCATGCCTTGCTGCAATATCTACACACACACACACACACACACACACACACACACACACACACACACACACACACACACACACTGAGGAGATTAGTTGAGTCATGATATATGCAAATGTTTCTTATAATGTGATTTATACTATTTAAATTTGATACGAAATTATTCAAAATCTCTAATATTTTTCAAATAGTGTTAGCTATTCTATTCAATTAGCACTGTAATTTTACCATTCGAACTTCCCAAAGACAAATACAGTGAACGTCCAATTGAAAGCACCCTTTTCAGATATTTGATACGCTTCATGTCATCAAACTCTCGTACTGCAGCGCAGCTGCCTTTCAGCCTCCGCTACAGTCAAACTCACAGTTGACATCCTGTTAGTAGTGACTTCTTAAGATTATCAATATGCTTCCTATTGTCACATTCTCATATTGCGGCAAACTTGCTTTTCATGCTCCGCCAAGGTCACTAATTTATTGATTCAAGGAAACATGGAGATGATATGTGGCAGATGGAGGCTACAATTGATGCTGTTTAGAACCATTTGAGCAGGAAGTTCGAAAAATCAGATGCCAAAAATTTTTAGCATCCGAAATTTCCTATGGTCTTATATATTTACGTCTACGAAGCAGATTTGGAACTCCCGACTTGAAGGGAGCGCACCCTCGTCTGTCACATTGGTTGGACTTCTCCATAAGTTGAAAGAGGAGGAGAGGGTAAGGAAATAGCATCTCTGCACCTTATGTGTGAAGTACAATCTGGCCTCAGCATTGCCTTATTCTTTATGACAACTATGAAGTACCACCCTTCCAGCACTTCATCAACCTAGCAAAAGGACATTTTTCATGTTGCTATTTCATAAAATATGCTTTGGAATCCTCTCCAACATTTTTCTTCCACAATCTCGCTTCGAAGTGTTTAAAATAAATTCTAGAAATATTCGAAAAATATTCGATTCAATTCAATTCACAGTCACACTTCAAAATTCGAATTTGCTTTGCACACAAAAGATTGCTGTTTGCGCAGCTCTACCAGTTTTTGAGGCAAAACTTTAGTTATATCACTCGAAATAATGGAATACAATGTAATGAGATAAAACATCATAAGTGCAATTAACACCATATAAAAGTGGTGCAAATGACTTTGCTATAAAAAGGCAGGCAAGTCCAGGTCCCTAGGAAAAGCAGAAGTGATTCATGGCATCCCATGCGGTGTTGTCCCTAAAGTGCTCAAAACTATCAGCTTTTCCGACTCCACCCTGCTGTTTGGAAACAAAGCCATGCACCCACACAGTGCGTGCACACGACAATCATGCAAGATCGAGCATGTTCTTCCTAAATGCTACATTTTAAATAACCTAAGAATAAACTATGCAATAGTATTAGTCGAGGAATAGCTGACCAATTCTTTTAGTAGCCTACTGCATGCCACTGCCCTTACATAAGAAGGAATTGAAAAGTGATGCAAATGAATGTTTTCACTGACGTGGTAAAGAGGCGGATACAGGGGCATGCATATCAAAATACCGTCAGTGATTGATTTTCGGACGGTTTATTTTTCCGACCTCCTTGAGTATTCAGACTCTGGCATGGTACAGTCACACACTCCATACAGACAACATATCACACTGAACAAAACTTTGGACAATTGAAACCCCTCTCCATTTTATCACGAGTCAAAAGCTACTGAAAACAAAAATACCCATGAAAAACACAAACATTGCTGCAATTACATTTTATTGCAGCCTCAAACCACTAACAAAAATACCCATGAAAAACACAAACATTGCTGCAATTACATTTTATTGCAGCCTCAAACCAATGTTGCACATGTATCGTCAGCTAATCTTGTCAGTCACCTACGGTGCTGCCTTATGAATGGTTGTGCTATTTGCATAGCCACTCCAACAACCAATCGGGGTTTCAGAGTAAGTTGTTACCAATGGCGCTGACATTGCCTTCTTCATTCTCCTACCCGACAAAAACCTCAATGCAAGAAAATTAGGAATGACGATGGAAAAAAGGCCATCATTATCAGCCAAATGCAAAGTCACTGGTCGCAAGCACACCTTGCAAAGCAGTTCGAAATGTTGAAGCACACAACATCAGACAACCTAAAGGACAAGGTGAAGACTCAACCCATATGGGCACACAATGCCCCTCAGAAACAGATTCACAAGTTTTTCAAGGCACTCGGTAAATTAACTGACTTTCTTTTTATGTGCATCTGTTTTCTCTGGCTGCCAATTGTTTGGACACTATCTTGGCCTTTTGAGGGTCCAGAAAATTAATTCAACGGTCCGAAAATTAGGTCAGTAACAGTACCGTTCCAACAAGTGGCCAAAAAAAAAAAAATTGTTGGCTTAATGATAACAAAATAACAAGGTGAAATTATACATTTGCATTCCTTCATTTTATCATTATTATTTCTTTATCAACAGCAGGTCCCACAATTTGACACCTGTGAACGTAATCAAATATAACAATTCTAATATTCCTTATTTAAAAACTATATATTCTAAAAACTTCCAAATATTCATAAAGATTAAACATTTGATCAAATATCATAATTTCAAAACACACACAAGTGCACCTTTGTGATCCCAATTCAGTCTCAGACTATGGGATATCTTCCTGTATATACAAATTTTGTATTGGTTCAATGACTAAATATACAGCCATTTCTGATTCTGATGGTAAGTGCAAAAAGCAACAGAAACACTGAAGGTGATTAGTTTGCAACATCTGCTGAATAGCGTTGAACAATTAAAAAAAGAGCAAGACAAATTCATCCCATATAGACAACTAATGCTTAGAGATGCTTGAATTAAAATATGTAACAAAATGCACAATTCTCCTTTCTCTCAGTTTCCTTTAACGCTACACCATTCACTTCTGTAGGCACCACCTCTATTCTTATTTTTTCAAGATCTCACTTTTTATAAACAGGATATAGATTTTTAGAGATATTAACCACATGAGAAATAATAATGTACCTCTCACCCAATAGTTGGCATATCAAATATCAATGCCAAATGAAGTGTTCTCAAAGGTCATAATATTATGCCAAAAAAGAGTACAGAGCATAAAACATCAAAAATTTTAACAATCAAATGTTCTCACCGTCCAACTGACACTTTTGGTAGACTTGGTTTGTGAAGCACAAGTCACGTCAAATCCACAGTAGCCTTCGAAAACACTCCTGCAACAAAGAAAAAAATATCTCCTGAAGATGAATCAAAAATGGGAGAAAAAAACAACAACAAAGCAACTCTTTTTATTACTGCAACAAATCGCAGTTTCCAGAACATGACATACCATTCATTGCTGTCGTATTGTGAACCTTCTTATGCAAAAGCTTTTGGAATCTACCAGGCACCTGCCGACAATGTGGTATACAACTATCCCGCTGTAGTGTGCTGCCGTTACTAACAAAATGAATACATTACCGAAATACAATTTACTGCTGAAGCAGATGTTGTCTAACCTACCCCCTACAATGTCCTTTTCCATCGATGATCATGCGTGTTTATTGGGCCTGAAGGCGTGCTATTACCCGCTGTAAAGACGTTTTCCCCTCATGATGCACGCACATATGGCAGATCAGTTGCGGTTAGTTTCAGTGCCAAGTGAAAGCGAGGTTATCATGTCAAGTATGGGACAGTCTTTCTCTCTTTTGAGATGTGGTGTGGCCATGGATTGTCACCTGCCACAAGAGGCCTATGGTGACGATTTCCTGGCCCAGTGGACGGGATCTTTGGTAACGAGTCGAACATGAGCGAAGCTGCGTTTTTCTGTGTTTTTTATAAGAATTGTATAAAGTTACCTGGGATGCTACTACATTCGATCCTGGATATATCAAACTTGAAGGGGATCGTGCCATAGTTCCAATATACTGATATTTTGAAATAAAAAATATGTATTTAAGGCTTAAATTGAAGCATTTCAGGCATCGAAAAAGGTTTCAGAAATTGTAAGCATGACCATTCCAGCTGGTCAGCTCAAGAGTATCGTGTACGTGGCAGTTCCTGCCAAAGTGCGTCTCACGGCCACAGCATGGCCGCGCCAGCCACAATGCATCACAAAAGGCAGATTTGAGAATTACCTGGACAAATCAGGCAAGTTTTCCATGCCAACTAAGCGTATAATGAATGAATGAATAAACTCTTATTTAAAGTCTGGCAGTTTCCTTCGGGCGAAGTGGGGGGGGGGGGGGGAAGAGGAGAATGTCCCTTCCCACCTTCCGTCAATGTGAAATATTTTTAAACACAATTGTTCGCCAGGAAGGCAGAGAAAAATTGAAGCGCCTACGTTGCTGGTATCTGTCCACAGCTTGATGCTGCTGATGATAGAGGATACTTTTGCAGCTCTGAGTGCACCTCAACTTGTTGTGCATTGTCATGCAATGCTGCATACTGGTTCAGTTGATTCATAGGGACAACTTCATGCATTGTTGTGGTGTCCTGTAACCAAAGACATATTATCAGCAATGAGCAAAAGGCTTGCCCCTCACACACTCACTTCTGCATATCATGACATGCTCACTTGAGCTCTAGCACTGCTAACATTATGGTAATGATGAACCAATATATTTTAATGAAGGTGGCACATTCCTGACTTCACATGTAAGTGGTGAAAAAGGCGCGTTTGTAATGCTGAGGATTAAAAGAATATTAGGGTAAAAATTATTCGAGCTTTATCAGTAGGTCACCCTTCTAGAGTAGTCACACCCACTGCAAGAAAAGGCTTGGTAAGCCAGAAAAAGATTCAAGAATGAAATTGAGGTCATGTAGTCTAGACATTGCACACTAGCAAGCCGTGATATTCTAAAATTCACCTGAAAGGACAGAATCTGCTAGAGTCCAGTTACGTTTGTATTGGTAAAGATAGATTACATTGCATTAAATAACATCTAAAGCAGGTGAGAGCATACCAAATCTAAGATTTTATAGCTCAGTCATGAAAGAAATAATTTGAGACTTGGTATCACACTAATGCCCTACTGTCAAGGTTAATGTGCAAAATATCAAGCACGAATGTTAAAGAGATAATGTCAACATTGCCAATGAGCACTTCCCCTGAGCCTCCTTTTTATGACATTATCGCATGCGCAAGAGATGCAGCTCCTTTTGCAAAAGACACACACAATAAGAAGATTGTGCATCTTTTAGGTTTTTACAAAGATTTGAGGTATTTTTTCATGGAGCCCCAAACTCCCTCAGAAGGGGAATGTACAAGTATGAATGCAAATCAACTCAGAAGCAACACACAACCTCACTGAAATTATGGAACGGGGTGGGGGTGTTTATGGGGGCAGACTGGCCTTCGTAACCAAAAAGTGACAAAAAATTCATTTTTTAAAATTGACATATTTGGTTTTTGCAAGTATTTTTCTATCTCTCTGCAAATGTTCAGACATCAGAAGTGGTAATTTTTTGTAATGTCATTCTAACCGTCCCGATTCTTGGTGCTTTCAACATGCAGAACCTGCAAAAAATGGAAGAACTGATTTCTAGGCTTCTTTATAATAATTTTCCGGCACCTGTGTTAGAACCTCGGCTACAAATTTATGAGCACCTTTATGAGGACTGCAAAACGTGCACACCATGATTTTTGCTTTTTAAAGAAGCTGTGTGTTTTGAGTTTTTTTTTCATTTTTCTCAAAAAAAGTAAATTTACGACTTCAATTTAGAGGCCTCAACATCTCTTCAGCTAGAGCAGGTACAACAATAATTCTTTTTGCAATGGAAACTGTATGTGTGTAGAATGCAAGTATGGGTGCAGAATTTAGAGCACAAGCCTTTCAATTAATTACTCATCCAAATTGTAACACAATTCCAACTGCTTTTGAAAATGAGTAGTTCATTTTGCTGTAAAATAAACAAAAAAGGTCTAAAAAAAGAAAAAATCTTGCATACTTTCAATCTATAATTATTAGTCATGTTGATATATCTGAAATATCAATTTTAATTAAGCACTTTTTTTTCTATGGTGGCCTTAAACAATAGGCAGAGAACTTAAGTTATCTCACGAATAAGATGAGTGACAGGAAAATTAATTAAATATTTAAAATCAGCAGGAAAAACTGCATAATCCTGTGCAGTTTAATCTAGATCGCTGAAGAAATAAAAAAAATGTCTAAGACCAGTCTGCCCCCTTAAGAGAAGCAACTCATCCTAAGTAATCTCTTGCCCCTGTCAAAGGCGAGTGAATGCTCTTATATTGTAGTGTGCTTAGAGACAGAACATGAGTTATGTCAATGAGTAATAGAAAATCTTCCTTGTGACCTCCACTTGTAGAAAATTTGTGGAAATATTGTCCAAACAAATTGCCAACACAAATAGCTATCACACACAACACATTTCCATTCCGAGATGAGTCCAATTCAAATTATGCGGTATCATATTATAACTTTTAGATCAGCAACACTGACAATAGCACTGCCTTTTACACTGAAATGATGTGTGCCTTTTTGCTTTGCTTTGTCTACAATGGAAACTGTTTCTCTTAACACTATTTCATTCCATGTCTCTATTCAATGTAGTGCTGCCACATCTTGGTTCCATTAAGAAGAGAAAAAAAAAAAAGAGAAAGAGCACAATTGAATTTTTTGCCAAAAATACATGATGTGAAAGAGCTGTACGTACCGTTTCCTCGATATCCCCAATCTTGGTTCCATTAAAAAGAGAGACAGAGGGAGAGATAGAGAAAGAAGAACAGTGCAAGTGATATTTAAAACAAAAACACACGATGTGAGAGGCATGTACCTACCGTTTCCTCCATATCCTCAATGTTAACAGCATCAATTCGATATTCATCAATCTCAATTCGGCCAGCTTCCCCAGGAGAGCTATACAGGGCAACAAATGCGATTTGTCAACACGGTGAAACAACCACCAAGCAAAATTCTAAAATCCACTATTCATTCTGGAACAAAATTATGAGAGGTGACACATTTCAAGTTCTGTTTGCTAAGCCTAATTCTAATCTCCTCTTTTAAAAATTGCCTTTTCATTTTCAACACAATAATGAGAACTAATAAGACAGGTTCAGTAGTAGTCACAGATTCGGTCCCTGCCTGCGGCAAGTTACCTGTTTGTCCACTTTCTTTCTTCACATTTACATCTAACGATGAAAAGCGAGCCCTTAAATTTACACTTTTTTTTTTCAATGCTGCTATTCGTCACCATTTGACCACATGATGGCCAGACACTCCTTCTAGTGTTAATACTCTCATTGCAACATAATTTTTAGATCTCTTGGTCGTCTGATTCACTAAAATACAAGGAGATGAATTGTACGTAAATGTTCTAAGCTAGCCCCCTTTTCCTTTTAAACAGACATCACATTACTCAACAGCCAATAGGAGATCAAGAAAATGAAACTGGGCAAGATCCTTCCAGCCCATAAAGCAACATATATTGCATCGTGCAATGACTGCTACTTATCTCAACAAGGCTTTCAAACAAAATCTTGAACACGCTTACTACAGTTAACATTTCCCTGGACTAATTCATCCGAAAACTATCTTTTAGACAATGTATAATTGTGTTTATTAATGGTTTCTTTGCAAACACTGCTGAGCAGAATGGTAATGACTGCATACTTTAACTAGCCCTGAGCAATATTTCCAAGTAATCATCAAATGATCACACTATCACAGTTCATTGCCTTTCAAATTGATCAACACAAAAATGTTATAATCCATAAAATACAAGCAGAGTTTCCAGAGATTTGTCTTACACGGTGTGCCTTTCTTCTTCTGTCTTGAAGAATGTGCTGGATGGAAACTATACATGTAAGTATGCCTAAGGGGCAAAATGGTACTATATTGGCTCGCATAATGACATGAATATTTTGTGTTCCCCCTTTCTTTCATTGTGTTCCTCACCTGCACGATACTACATAATTCTATAACATTTAATTCATTGTGTTGCCAGCACATGCCTGTGGTAGCTATGCAAGACAAGAAGTGCTACAGGGTCTGGCCAACCTCTGTAAGTGCCTGATGCACACTGTTTCTTTTTTCTGCATCCACTTCACTGATAGGTGGTAGCTGAATTGGAAAGGAGCATTTTCAAGCGAATTCAAGCAGCTAAAAACCAAGCAATGCCCGGCACTGCATCTTGTTCGTGATGCACCCAAGCAACTAAGTATGCATGGCAAGTGTATTGGAAACAATATTATCAGTAAGCACTGTACCAGACTCAGCTATGTATAGCCTTTGAAAAAGCATGGTGGAATATGCTGTGCACTGTCTCACATAAACACATAAAAAAGAAAATGAACAGACGACCATTGAACAAGACCGAAGGTACTAAGATACTTTTTTGGCACTTTTAAATTGAGAAACCTGCCTTTTTAGTTCACTGAACTTCAAAGGGCACTCGTAATCATTAAGGATGTTTTCGTGATCATTTAATGACAGTAACCATTCCTACAGCTAATAGTCTGTCCCTTCGTCTATGTAGCTTTGCCCAGAAGAGAGTGAGCTATGTTTGTTTTAAAGGCACCAGTCCCAACTACTCGTTTTTTGCAGCACATTATATTTTGCTCACACATTCACGTGAGCCTTTACTACTGCTCAGCAGTGTTTGATAAAAAAAAGTGAGCTTAAAATTTGTGAAAGTCAATTATTTGTGCCTGGGGCATCATTTCTAAGGAGGCTTATTAATGGTAAGGAGTCACTACACTCGACGAAAGGCTTTCCATTTGCATTCCTAAATCGTATTTGTGACTTCACTATGCTGTTCCAAATTAAGGTTCTGGTGCAAAACAGTCTAAAGTTGCCGCAGGTCAACAAAAGGGAAAAAATTATTGGAGCTACCACCTTTACCACAGTGATGCTCATACAGAGCAGACCACAGAAAATCTGGTAAAATGGCTCATTCAAGTACAAGACACATTTCCTGTATTCGCTCCAGCACAAGGTGCAAGGGACTGCAGCGGTGCGCTTTTTAAAGTTTACCAAATATAGTGACGTTTCAACCCATAGTTAGAATCCATGGAGGGCACAACCAGCACTCTCCATCCCTTTAGACATTTAAAGTGAGAAATACCATTGGTATTTCTAATTTTAAAAATGAAATTACAAACCCAGCAACCATGTCCACTTTCACCTGCCACTCTCTCCTTAAAAGAGTACTTACAAAAACATTTATCTTGCTTTCTCTGTTGCATTATATAGACAACAACGCAACAGTCATTTGATCGAGAACAATACACGAAGGTAATAGATTTGAAGATTTTTTAGTAGCACCCAGTTGCAGATTTCGTTTCGGAGAGCGTCAAACACAGGACTTAGCATGGTTTGTTGGTCAACACAGCAGGCCGCAGGATAACACTAAACGGTGATGCACTACCCATGCACATTGTGCCGCTTTGCACGCACATGAGCCCGTCAGTGATAACTGCCGGAGAGTGTGCACGCAAAGGCATGACAGTCAACACAAGTTCGTGATGCAGCTGGTTATTGGTTCCTCACATTACAACCAAGTTGCACTGCATTTCACATGCCGGTAGCGTGGCCCACATTTCAAAATTGATTTTAATCAACGTTCTTGACTACCTCTACTAACAATATTTTGTGTCAGTACCCCTTTAAGAGTACATAAACTGACTAAACTTTTTGGTTAATGTGCTATAACACCCACATTCAAAGATCTCTCTCCATTTTTTAAAAATAAAAAACAATACTATGGCACATTAACATGCTTTGAAAAGCACATAGCATCTAGTACGTCATTATGTTGCCCAAAAACTTACCAAGACTTCAATGTCGCCTCCCATGCATTTCCAAAGGTACGTGCAACATCTTGAACGACGGTAGCAAATGAACTTGGGCTTAATGCCGCCATTGGTGGTGTGCAATCAGGTGTGGCATCGAGCTCACCTACTCCCTGAAACCAAGACAACAAGCATGCCTCTTCCACATAGGTGAAATTGAATGAGAACAAAGATAATAACAATTGTTGGTGTTGAACATCCTAGAACCACAATTATTATGACTATGAGAGATGCAGTAGTGGAGGACTCTGGAAACATCGACCACTTGAGGTCATTGATATTATCATTGATATTGATATGTGGGGTTTAACGTCCCAAAACTACTATATGATTATGAGAGACGCCGTAGTGGAGGGCTCCGGAAATTTTGACCCCCTGGGGTTCTTTAACGTGCACTCAAATCTGAGCACATGGGCCTACAACATTTTCACCTCCATCGGAAACGCAGCCACGGCAGCCGGGATTTGATCCCGCGACCTGCGGTCAGCAGCCGAGTACCTTACCACTAGACCACCGCGGCGGAGCGAGGTTATTATCATGAACCTAAATCTAAGCACATGGTACTCAAGCATTTTCACCTTCATGCGAAATGCGGCCGCTGCCGCAACATGTACAAAGAAGCAACACATATCGAGACAATAATACTTGAAATATTTATGTTGATGTTTCTGTTGTTTTAATAAACTTTCATTTTACTTGTGTTTCCTACTAGCTCTAAGCTCAAATAAAAAAAGAAAAGCATCAAGGTAATATAATTTATTTGCATTAATGTATGGCACTGGGAGAAACAAGCGCACTTTACTGAAGAGACGTCTTCTAGGAGCACCTGTTAGATAAATGCTGTTAAACACGACCCCTATCTATGACACATAGCATTCAGTAACAGTTTATCTTCATTCATTGCAATACATTCAATAAACTATGCACAGACATGGGTCCCAAACTCGGAGACTGCACCGGGACCTGTGATTAACTGTTTCATAAAAAAAAGCGGAATACCACGCAGAAACTAGTCACATTAGCAAACTATCAGGAAAACGAGTGAAGACACACATAAAAAGCAAAGCAACAAGCTAAACACACTACAAGGTATGCAGTACTGGCACTTATTTTCAGCACACAAGAAAAGTGGAGCAGATACAGTTTTCTTTGCGATGCCATCCCATGCCTGAAAATTTCCTAATTTCACGCCTCCCCTAACTTAGTGCTATATTCAGTTGCGTTTCCCTTGCTTGGCACCCAATCCATGTAAGTGACCACAGGTTATCTGTCGGACATGTTACAAGGTCTTTCAAGAACTTTTTTTCTTTTTGTGAACTAGAATAATGGCTACACCTGTGTGCTTTTATTATCTGCACTGCTGAACCTTGGTGATCATGTTACATGGTTTTTCCACAACTTTTTTTTTTGTGTGAACTAGAATAATGGCTACACCAATGTGCTCTTATTATCTGCACTGCTGCACCTTGGTGATCAGCACATTTTGCAGTTCCAAAGTTTTCATTTTGTGATGAGACTTCAGTACCATTTCGCTGACTGAGCACAGCTAAGCCTGGATCTGCTGCACGGTATGTGAATGCATGCTTTTTCTGTAAGCTTTATGTTCAGACTATTTAGCTACAACCACTGAAAGATGCACGGCTAGCAATGTCGCACGAAGAATGGATACTGTCAAACCCCTAATGTCTGCCACTGTACTGCCACGACCTCTGGAACTGCACATGCCAGTGCTGCACAATATGATGTGGAATGTAACCATAACTCCGCGAGTGTGTCAACTCAATATGGCCACTAAAACATCCTTTCCTAAACACATTTCTCCCAGTGTGCAACGTTCAACTTTTTTGAAGTAAAGTAGAAATATGTAGGGGAAACAGAGTGATGCCTAAATGACAGCCTCAGAGACCGCACTAATAGTGTCAAGAACGATTCCAACAGTCGACTAGCCACTCCCTGCCAAAGGTGCTTGTGCACCCAGAAATTCAGCTAATGCGCCATCATATTCCACAACCATCATCAATCGGCAAGACAAGTTAAATCTACAAGGTAATGTGCAGGATCCTGTGTTAGCATAGCTTCATTTATGTTATCTGAGAAAGAGGTACAGTTTCTGAGTGCCCAGTAATTTGTATTGTGCATACCCTGGGTCACGTGCTTCGGCATATATGCTAAATCTTTAGGTGTGTAAGACACACCTTTTTTTTTTTAATTTTCACTCGTGAATCTTATACAAAGTACATCTTATATAGTCATATTGTCACGTGATTTCGAGGGACCAATATGTTCATATTTTATTCCAGAGTATGATAAAATGTGCATAGCAACATTTGTAAAAAGACATTTCATCTTGTTATAACAATGAAGCAACAGTGATCAGGTGGTGGCTACTTGCTGTTAAGGCTGTGCGGCAACCACAGAGATTATGGCACGATGAAGGCCACCACGAACAGCCCACTATCTGCAATTTCGAATTGCTTCTTCTTAATGCATTAAACAGACAGAACTGGTGCAATAAATAAAAAAGGGGACCAAAGCCTAAGCATCCAACTTGAAACGCTTTATCGTGACATTTAGCAGCTACTGTTCTACCATTTACAGAAACAAAAGCACCACTTCATTACCATCATCATCAAAGAATTCTCGGCAATTTAGCAGGGGTTGCAGCTTCTGGCTTCTTGTCGCCATCTACATTTTGAGCTCGCATGTTCCAGGTGATTGTGGTGCAATCGTTGGTTCACCGGTTGGTTATGATTTCCCATTCGTATTGCTGCAGAGGCAACGCCATCGATGATCTGTTAAATAACTCTGCCAAGAAACCGCTTATTTGTGCAGAATAACGCTTTAAAAACGTATTTGGAATTTGATTTGAATAGTGCTTTAGGAACATATTTGGAATTTGATCTGTTCCTATACTTTTCTTAGTGCTCAGTTTTCTTGGTACAATCAAAACACCTTCGCTTGTGACAATGGGAATGTCCACATGTTTAGGAACAACTGCTGGTAGGGGAACCTAAGTGCTTGAAGGTGTGAAAATGCTATGAAAGTATTGATAAAAGCCTGCGATAATAAAAAGCAGTCAGCTTTATATTTCTTGTTAAGCTTTATTTTATTCACTGTTTCGTTCATTTGGGCAAGAAATCTCCAGAATTTAGCCAGATCTTCTGTAATAAATGAAGGGGGCTTGATTGTAACATGTCCTAGTGTCGTTAAGTTTATTTTCAGAGCACCGATGGTTTTGAAGCTCTGAAAATAAATTGATTGATATGTGGCACTTTACGTCCCCAAACCACCATATGTATATGAAAGACGCCATAGTGGAGGGCTCCGAAAATTTCGGCCACCTGGGATTCTTTAACGTGCACCCAAATCTGAGCACACCAGCCTACAGCATTTTCGCATCTATCGAAAATGCACTCGCCGCAGCAAGGATCGTCCGAATCAACTGGGTTGCAGTAAAAGTTAGATGCCATTAAACAACACACATGCTTGCCATGACTAGGGAACATGTCTGAATTACACAATTTTCCAACTTGACAGGGGTCAAATTAACGTGCTTTTACAGTGTGTGTTGTGTACGCTTTGGTGCTATGCGTGTTCCTCGGAATCCCCTTCCCCTCACAAAAAAATGAAAATCCTCCATGGATGATCTGGGCACACAAGTGTTTTCCGAACTTAAACTGGCAGGTGCATTGTCAAAGCCATTAGGATTCGTCTCTCAGCACCGACGTTTGAACAGTTACAAGATTTTTCTGGATTTAAATGACCTAGTTGAGGCCCTGAGAAAGTGCTTTATGTTAAACAAGAGAACTTGATGAATGTATGACGAATATCCCATATCCTGCCCGGTTTTTTAATCCAGGAACCAAGCACGAAAATTATGGATCATTCTATGTCATCACCTGATTACGACTGGTAAATGAATGTTGAAAGGGGCTTCGGCACGGTAAAGTTTGTGCTGCCATTCGAAGTTCTCGGGCAGGGTCTATGCGTATAATACCAATTTCGGTTATATTCCCTCAATTGATCTTCAATTACATCCTTCTTGCTTATCCAACATAGATATATTTTCATAAAATCACTCTCTCTGATTTTATGTAGTGGTAACCAACCTCATCTAATAATTTAAACTACCCGACTCTCGGCCAAGCGCGCGGTGTGGGTATGCGAGATCAAAATATCCACAAAAAATATGACTTCTTCGGTTCACCTAAGTAGAACACGCACATCGTACGCCTACGCTGCGCAGTGTAAAGGCGCTACACTGCAGTGCAGTAAGTACGTAACCTTCATAAATAATACTACAAGCACAAAAAAAAAAACAAATACAATGTCACATGCAGCTCCCGCTTCGATCCAGTACGTTCTTTTCCATGGCCTTGAGTTTCCCATTCAAAGCTTGAAGAGCGCGAACGGGTAGCTAAGCCTAGGGTCAGCCACCAAGCGAATTGCCGGCATATGACGCAATCGGTGGCGTAAAAGCTCGTGACAGTTCCAGCCGTCCGTTTTCATCAACATGCACCCCCGTCACGCAGACCTATAAGCACACCGCGCACTCCCTGCTGTCCCCCACAGGCAGCTTTCAGCGCCGTCGTCTCACAACAAAGAAAGCAACGTACAACGCACGTGCGCCGTGCGTTAGTTTCGCGTAGCACGCGAATCCGAAATGAGAGACTCGAAAGCGCGCGCTGGAAACCAGTGCAAACAACGTTAGCGATAGTAGATAAACGCACAATCGGACTTACATCGGTGATTACGTTCTCCATCAGCAGTGCGACAAGTCAAACGAAGTGCAGTATATGGCCTCCAAACTACATCTGAAAAGGCTTCAAGTTCGAAAGGCTGCCGTTAAACCCACGCACAAACAAACAAGACACAAACATAGCTAGTTCTATACCGAAACCAACTGATCTGTTGTGAGAATATGTGTAATAATTTTTCTACCATGCTTTGGCTTTGCTTTTTTCCCGCGTAAACGACGTTGCGTATACCAAAACTAAGCGGTAAAGTTTCTTAACTTTATTGCAACACATCATTAGGGACATAGAGCAAATAATTCACTAGTGCATTTATTCACTAGCGCTTCGCTTGGTAAAATATTCCTTCATTTGTTGAATTACTTATAATGCAGCAATAACATATAATCATAATTTATATTTTTTTATATGCATGATTGTTTATAACAACGGATAGCGTGTTTCTCGTCAGACACCACCAGGCTGTCTCGCGAGCAGTTGCGATTCGTGCCCATGTCAATTTCGGAGTAACATGGCCTCCCGCCTAGAGTGGATCCCAGACTCTCTATACAACTCGGCTGTTACTACGCTCGTTAACAACTACCCGATCTTCCAGAAGGACTTGAGATATCTTCCCGAGAGCATCGCCTTCGACATATTGTATCAGGTGAGGCTCGGTTACCGCTGGATCGGTGAAGTGTTAGCGTCGCAAGGCACGAACGTGCACGCTAAACTAAACGTTCTTTCGTCATGTTGTGTGGGACCCGTATGCTCAAATAAGGATAGAATACTGCTTATCGAGTTTTACCGTTTTACCGCTGCTTTCTGGTCGGATACGATTACCTCTGAGCAGTGGGTTCGGGGAAGAAGTGATATGTTAGGCATGTTCTTACTTAGTCAGCGGGGCGTCGTGATATCGCGCTGTTGCCTACGATCGAACTGATGTTGTGCATGTGTGCTTTAGTTTGTGATTATACCGACGATGAAGAGTTTGCAAGTTTTACACGGAAATCGGGGTGCACATGTAAGTCGTTTCTGTGAGCACAGTAAAAGCGTCCGTATTGGTACACCATGTATAACGTAGATGTGTTTTGGTTGTTTGTTTTGCAGCTGTACAAGCAGAACAAGCTATGTTTTCTAGGCTTCGAATTTTACGATTTGGATATCTTCGCGAAGATTACCAAAGTGAAAGACAAGAGGTTCGTATTTGCGGTGTTGATGGATCTTTTTGGGCATATTTGAAACGGTGCTAGAGAACTGGATAAAAAAAGGTGACGCAAGGCGGTGCATCGCCGCCTTGTAACGTTTCTCGTCATCTGAAAGAATATTTAATACTCCTTGACGCCCTTCATATTTATTTTCCCAGCGTTTAAACACTTATATTGTCCATTTCTTTCTTATGCGGTGGTTGATTTTATTTCCTTCATTTTGCTTGTGACTCACATCATCAGCATTTCCCGGGCCCTCTGTTTTTTTACGGCTTCTGAAGATAGTATGATTGATTGATGATCATTTGATACCTTTGTTCAACCATTGCGCTCAGTGCTGCAACCTTTTGGCTCGCATATGCATGTCCTTTGTCTGGACTTCATCATAATGTTCTGGCTGCTCTGCTTCAGTTACTGCTTGTAATTTTCTTACATAGTCAATATTGTTTGCCCCGCCGCGGTGGTCTAGTGGCTAAGGTACTCGGCTGCTGACCCGCAGGTCACGGGATCGAATCCAGGCTGCGGCGGCTGCATTTCCGATGTAGGCGGAAATGTTGTAGGCCCGTGTGCTCAGATTTGGGTGCACGTTAAAGATCACCAGTTGGTCGAAATTTCCGGAGCTCTACACTATGGCGTCTCTCATAATAATATTAGTGGTTTTGGTACGTTAAACCCCACAAATCAATCAATCAAATAGTCAATATTGGTTTCACATAGATACCAATTTCTCTACAGTGGTTGGCTGTCTACTGTAATTTACATAAGGGAGCCAATCACAGTTGTGAAATTTTATCTGGATCAGGTGCACTCATGATCAAAGCGACGGTGTAACACCAGGCAGAAATCTGAGCATTCAGCCATATAACTTGCAAGCCCTATATTATTGATGTTTGACCTGGCAGGGTAGAGGGGATCATTTCTGTGGCTGTTACCATTTGCAAACGTTTGTAGTGTGCCATGTCTTTCAACTTGTTACCATTGCAATGAATAAAATATTCTTAAGGTTTTCTTTTCCATTTAATGTGTGCTTAGTTAATGGCAAAACTGAGCTACACAATGATGAGTAGTCACTAAATACTTGTATAGTCATCCAAACATTTGCCACTTCTGCAAAAAATACTTAGTGAATAAATTTAACTAATATTATGTGTTCTGTGGCCACAGATTATTCGTTGAACCACATAAGTAGAGTTCCTCTTCACAATGTTTCTATAGCACAGAGTCAGAAAACATGACAAACAAAGGACAAAGCAATTTTCAAAATATTACGATCTTTTACCAACTATATCGTGGCTCGGAATTCAGCACAGGATACTTTTCTATTTAATATTAGCAGGCCTGCATTTTGCTCCAGCTTTACAAAAAGATAGAGAGAGAGAGAGAGAAAAACCCACTTCACAGCTAATTTTGATCTGAATAACATAGCTAGTACTGTGTTTCTGCAATTTTATGGTGCATCAACAACTTCAGAGTGTTAATTTCTTGTTTCAGGAAAATTATCATTTCATGTTCGCACATGCGCAACTTGTCTCTTAGGCTAGAACAGAAATGGAATGCATAAAAAATCTTCTTCGCTTCTTATGGCATGCCTGCTTGGTGGTGCCACTTGCATCAGTGCCATTAAAGCGCGTTTGTCATTCTGCCAATGTATTCTTAATGGGAATTTACTTATCATAGCCATGATCTCTTATATATGCTCACTGCCTATAAAAGAAACCAGGCCATTTCTTTCAGATGTTGTGATGTCAAAGGCAATTACTTAGCAAATTCAAGTGCAAACAAGCTTGAAATGCGTAGGGAGATTTATTATTAAAAAATTTCAGTTATGCTCATTAGAGACTGTTTTGTAGGAAGTGAAGCTTGCTTAAGATTGAAGTCACCAGTCTCACTGTTCTTGTTCTTTTTCGCAATTTTCAGATCAGTGATGTTACAAATTTGATCAGTATTAATTACTGGGGTTTTATGTGCCTAAACCTTGATATAGTAAGAAGGCACAACCACCTTAATGGGGGATTCTGGATTGAGTTCAACCACTTTCGTTACTTTACAGTGTTCCCCAAATTGAAGCACTTAGGTGTTCTCTCATTTATGTAGAAGGCCGTGTGCTTAAATTTAAGCACATATATACAGAACCCCATGTGGTTAAAACTTCCAGAGCCTTCTCCTACAGTGTCACTCTTGAGTGTACCATGGTTTTGGGACATAAAACCTCAAAAATTGTTAATTGTTCTTTTATTTTGTCTCCATAAAAATGCAGCTAGTGGCCAAAAATTAGACCTATGTTCTTGAGCTTATAGGGCCTGCACTCAATTTTTTCTTGGGGGGCGAACTTGAGCAATCATAGTCACATGATGAAATCATGACTTTTGGGAAAGCACAATATCTTGTCCAGTGCACTACAAACAAAGCATGCATTTCTGTTGACCTCGAATTGAAATTAATGCAAATGCTCAATACAAAAGACTATGTATAACTTATCTACTTCTTTATACAAATGAAATCAAAAATGGTTTTATTGATGTTGTTTATTAAATTTTAGGCACCTTTTGCACCACTGCTTCCAAGCAGTCATGGACCATGGAACACAGACAGCCCATTTGTTAGCTGAGTCTTATCACCGACGGTGCACAGCCGCATCACCAAATGCTTCACCACACCACTACTCGTATGAGTATCTCATATCTGTAGGAATATCTATTGGTGAGTTGTGTTCCTATTATGCAAAGGTCAAGCATATAGCTTAAATAAACTGACTATATTGATATCAAACTGTACTTTTTACAAAGTGCAAAAAAGAAATCGTAGAATTTTGTGTTGCAGTACAGCTTTTTTGACCATCTAAACCTCTGTCAGTGAACTCGCTCATTGTTGACTCACCCACTTACATGCGAGCTTGAGCCCAAACGACGCCTTCTGCTTTTGGCAAGTGCGAGTTCTCTGCGCTGACTAGAATTTTTGTGGCTTTAAATCTGAGAGAGTAGTAAGCAAATGGTAGATTTCATGGGGGAGTTTTATTTAGTTTTGTTTACTTTGCTGACCGATTCTTTTAATATAATGCTCATATTCTTGTGAAAGTGTGCATAGTTCCAAGGGGCTGGCTGGAAATGTCAGCTGTGGATCCTATGCCAGATGTAGCAGCAATACAATTGAAATGTTGTGGTGTTTTGTCCAAAAACATATTGTGTAAGAAAGACTACAGTATCCGGGGGCATTATTCATGTATGATTTAAAAAGTGGTCTTCAACATATGTTTTTATTCTTTTTAAGTGTATTGTAAACAGTTAAGGTTACATTTCAACCACTGTAATTGTGTGTGTGTGTGTTGTGTCATGTTCTGTCTTATATGCACTATTTGTTTGTGTCTGTCCTATATGGAAGACTGTCTGCCTATATGGAATATAAAAGACGTCCCCAGAAGGACTTTCTCCTCTTGCTCCCATCATTGATGTGCACTAGAATACTGTACTATTAAATAAGCTCTGCTCTATGCTCATTGAAGTGGGGTAATTTGGATCATTAGTAAAAGGCATTACTTTGGAACTGGCTTGAGTGTTGTTATTGTTGCGATAGCAATAATATGGACATTCTAGTAGGTTGATTTTTGCCGGTTCCGTCGCCGTCAAGTCCCAGATATGTATAAGTATGTATATTGTAGTGACTAATACGGGCTCTGCTATAGGAACGATGAAGAAGACGTTTGTTGTAGTGGAGGCTCGTGCTGCTGTAGCTACTGCTGAAACGGCTCGCTGCTGTCTCGCTGCTGTTCAGCCCATTAAACAATTGTCCTCACCCCGGCGTGACGTCTAACAGTATTCTTACATTTGGTATAGAGTGCTGGTTGTCTCAAACTGGAACTCCGTTCCCAAACTCTACCTCAACCCCCCTGCCTCGCCAATGCCTGATGACATGACCCAGCCACCTGCAGTCATAAGCGCATCTGTCACCTGTTCCGGAATGCCACGACCGCGAGATCCTAGTGATTTTCAACGTGACCGACGACCAAGACGCTGAAGACTGGCTGTCCCAGTATGGAGCAGTAAGCGCCCACAATAACTGGAATGACACGGACAAGCTCGCTTACCTTAATTTCTAACAACCACTAAAGCGGAAATACCCTCTTGGTCAACCTTCAAGACACGCTTTGCGAAGTGTCTGGCCGACCCGCTGTTCGTAAGCTCTGCGCTGAACAGCGCTTGCGCAGCCTCGCACAGTGCTCTGGCAAGACCTTTACCTCATATATTGAGGATGTTCTGAACCTCTGCCGTCGTATCGATTCCGACATGCCTGAAACTGACAAAATACGGAACATCAGGAAAAGTATCGAGGACGGCGCCTTTTACGTGCTTGTTGCAAAAAAAAACTGCAAACCATCGGCCAGCTTATTCAGCACTGTCAGAGTTTCGACGAGCTGCGGAGAGAGCGCATTTCTACTCGATGTCCAAACCTTGACACGACCTCTACATCTGCGTTAATCATTGGTGCTGTTTCCTCCGAGCAACCACGTTAATGTACCAAGTCCAGCAGTTCGTCTGAGAAGAAGTGGTGCGCCAATTGTCTCTTGTGCTGTACGTTCCGACCAGTGCGCACACGCTTACCCCAACGCTCCGCAAGGCTATCGAAGAGCAAGTTTCTGACTCCCTGCTTCCCACATACCACCCTTCGCCTATCTCCGCCCCTCTCATTTACGCTGAGGCGGCCAGACGATCGCCGCTGTCGCTACCAACCGTCACGGATCCTGCTCGACAGCCCCATTCCCTCTACGCAGCAAGTCCGCCTATCCGTCCCCACCCACCTCCTGTTCGTCATTCCGCACCACCATCCACTAACCCTTGGCGCACTCCAGACAACAGGCCAATTTGCTATTTCTGCCATCTTCACGGTCATGTAGCACGCTACTGCCGTCGTCGGGATTACAGCCCAACAGCTGGTGAGGCGACTTACGGCTCCTGTCGTTAAGTGCCACCACAGTCGTCTTCGTTCCCCCCCACGTCGGATCAGTCGCCGCCATGTCGCCGCGGCTTGGACAGGGATCGGTTGCCCTCACCACAACGCTGTTCTATTTCTCCCATGCTTCCTCGAGCACCACCCAACCAAACAGAAAACTGGCCATTGAAGTTCCCGAGGCAAGAGCTTTGCACATATAGAAACCTTCAGGGCTCCCGTTTTTACCTGCTAATTAAATAACTGTGCATATTGATGGTGTACTTGCGCAAGCGCTCGTTGATACTGGTGCTGCCGTGTCTGTGCTAAGTGGTGAACTGTGCCGCAAGTTGAAGAAGCTTACGCTGCCGCTTTCCGATGTCTCTCTCTGCACGGTCACTGTGCATCACATACAATCCTTCTGCGGCAGTGCACAGCTCGACTGGTCATCCGAAAATATTTTGTATGTACTCGAATTCCTTGTGTTTTTCTCCATGTTCACACAATATTATCTTAGGCTGGGAACTTCCTCTGCGCTGATCATGCCGTCGTTCACTGTGCGCGTGCCAAATTAGAGTTGTCGACGATGTGTGAACTGCCCCTGTGTGAAGCGCCGATGTCTGAAAGGCCTTCCTTCTTTCAAGCCGCTATCTTCCCGAGTCATCATGGCTGTGGACACTCACATTCCCTCTTCTATCCTGTGTTCTTGTGCCACTTTTCTGCGACGACGCGCCCTCTGTCACCGCCTTGTTTATCCCCTTTGATGCCTTCGGCTCTCGCAAAAGTTTCCTTCTCCCTTTCGCAGTTGTCACCGTAGAAAACTCGCGCGGCTCCATTTATATAACAAACTCGCTTCCTTCCCCAGCCATATTATACCATGGCGAAGTCCTTGGTCACCTTGAGTAAATTGATTCTGTTTCATCCAGTCACCTACCTGATGACTTGCCATAATCTCACTTAAACACAATTACCTCTGATACTACTCCCACTTCATCTCTGGATGCTTTTTTCTAATCAATTGACCCTAAACTTCCCGCTGCTCAGCGCACCCAACTCTTGACTCTACTCGATCGCTTCAAGATGTCATTTGACCATAGACAACCTTCTTTTGGTCGCACGTCTGCCATTGTTCACAAAATCGACACCGGTAGCCATGCACTTTTGCGCCAGCGCCCATATTGAGTTTCTCACGCTGAACACTGTGCGATTGATGATCAGGTGAACGATACGCTTCGACGTGGCATAATGCAACCTTCAAACAGCCCTTGGGCCAACCTCTCCGGTTGTACTGGTTTAAAAAAAAGGGATGGCAGCATCAGATTTTGCGTATATTACAGGTGTCTTAATAAGATCATGAGAAAATATGTGTATCCGCTGTCCAGAATTGATGACGCCCTCGATTGCCTGCAAAGAGCACAGTTTTTTTCTTCTTTGGACCTTCGATCTAGCTGCTGGCAGGTCCCCATGAATGAAGCCGACCGCTCCAAGACTGCGTTTCTAACGCCCGACGGATTGTACGAGTTTAACGTGATGCCATTCGACTTCTGTAATGTGCTTGCCACCTTCGATCATCTCTCATGGACGACAACCTTAGAGGCTTTAAATGGAACACATGCTTGCACTATTTGGATGGTGTCGTCGTTTTCTCGAAGGACTTCGACTCCCACCTCAGCCGCCTCACAAGCGTCCTGACTTGTCTTTCGGACGCTGGACTGCAGCTGAATTTGAAGAAATGCCACTTCCCTGTGCGCCAGCTTATCATCTTAGGGCATGTTGTTGGAAAGCATGGTGTTCGTCCTGATCCAGCCAATGCCCGATGTTGCATCCGAGGCGGATGCAACATCGGGCATTGAACAACCACCGCATATCACTCCCAAACCAACGGGATGACCAAGTGATTTAATCGCACGCTGGGTGACATGCTCTCCATGTATGTTTCTGATGACCATATAAACTGGGACCGCATACTGCCATTCGTTACTTAGGCTTACAACAGCGCAATTCAATCTACAACTGGATTCTTCCCGTTCTTCCTTCTTTATGGTTGGGAACCTTCATCGTTCTTGGACACTGACCTTCTGTACCGCCCAGACCCTTCAGAATCGACGACTTTGGCCGAAGCCGCCACATATGCCAAAGAATGTCAGCAGCTCGCACGTTCGCTTGCTACGCACAATCAGGCTCGCCAAAAGCACTCCCATGACCGACGCTCATCCCCTTCGTCATACACGCCTGGAACAATCGTGTGGCTTTGCGTGCCATCATCTGCCCCAGGCCTTTGCTCAAAGTTCATACCCGTGTATGACGGTTCGTACCGGATCCTGCGCCAGACATCACCAGTCAACTACATGGTTGAACCTATTCATCCACCTACAGATCAACGGCGCCGTAAGCGCAAAACTGTGCATGTCGACAGTCTAAAGCTTCACTACGACCCACCAGTCCTGTCTGTGCCATAGGTCACCACGATGGCTACTTTAGCACCGGGGAGTCAATGTAGTGACAAATATGGACTCTGCCATAGAAACGATGAATAAGACGATTGTCGTGGCGGAGGCTCGTGCTGCTGCAGCTGCTGCTGAAACCGCTGGCTGCTGTCTAGCTAGCCCTTTAAACGGTTGCCTCGCCCCGGCGTGGCGTCTAACAGTATTCTTACAATATATATATATATATATATATATATATATATATATATATATATATATATATATATATATATATATATATATATATATATATATATATATGTATATGTATATATATATATATATAGGAAAGGTACAAAAATGAAATAAAGAAAATCCCAAAGGACCCACCGCAGATTCCAACGAGCGACTCCTCACGCCTCTGAGCGCTGCAATAATAAACTAGGCCACGCCGTTCATACCATCCATCACGGGCTACGTGAGCGACGTATATACGCCATTTGCCACTGACTTACTGTCAATGGACATAAAAGAAACATTCATGTAGCCCTGCCACGGTGGTCTAGTGGCTAAGGTGCTCAGCTGCTTACCGGCAGGTTGTGGGATCGAATCCCGGCTGCATTTCCGATGGAGGTGAAAATGTTGTAGGCTCATGTGCTCAGATTTGGGTGCACGTTAAAGAACACCAGGTGGTCGAAATTTCTGGAGCCCTCCACTAATCGTATAATCGTTTTGGGACGTTAGACCCCATAAATCTATCGAAACATTCATGTACAAAGCGTGCACTTTGTTTGGAAAAGCCATACATGCTTTCCCTAAGCATTAACCTGTCTGATGGCTTGATCAACGGAGGGGTGGGTTCACTGAAGCACATACAGTTGGATGAAAGGGGCATTTCAAAATGTCTCTGGCTCCACTTCCTCTCTGAAGCAGCAGGAAAAATTGCTCACAACAAATCCAGGACTATTTGAAAAGTTGTTGGTTCTCCCATGTCTGTGAATACGGTTCCCATCGAAATGCACGTAGCCACTATCACTTTAATAGACAAACTCAACTCGCTGCCCCCTATGAGTTGTGGTGATGCTTGCGCCATTAAAACATTGCACGTCTACATCGTTGCAATAGTATACATCTCACCAGGAACCTTGTGGACTGACATCATGAACTTCTTACTGCACAGCTTCTGTGTGGTGTGTCTACAGGATGTGCCGGTGATAGTCACTAGAGACTTGAACATTAATGTACATATTTTGCTATGAAAACCAGTAGCTTGTCTCGTCTGTCAATGCCATATGTGGACTTTGCCTCCTGTCGGACATCACGCAGTCAACCATTTGCAACACCTGTTTAGATACTGTGATTTCTGGATTATTTTCTCAAGCACTGTCGACCATGTTCACTAAATTTTGTATGGTTCCTAAATCTTCTAGCCTTACTTCGTGTAATGGCACGATGTGTTACTATCGCATTCGTTGGTATGGCCTTGTGCCGAAACTCTGACTTTTTTTATGACCAATAATAATTTCCATAGCAGAATGGTTCAATGTAAGATGTCTTCCATTCAAGTCTGCATCTCGAAGTGTTCATTGATCTGAAGGTTATTGGATTGCAGGTCAACTCCTGTAGACATTGCCTCGAGGAATGCCTACAGAAGTCATCGCTTCTTCAATAAAGACTATCGCAATGACATATCTCATCAACTGTAATCAGCTTGTTCTTTGATGTCCATGTCTAATAAAAAAAACTGCCTTGAGGTAATTGTAATGTGAATGTGAAGAAAGAAAAGTAAACGAAAAAATAACTTGCCATCGGCAGGATCCGAACCTGCAACCTTCGAAAGTTCGGATCCTGCCAGTGGCAAGTTATTTTTATGTTCAAACGACCTATCTTTTCGTTCACTTTTCCTTCTTCACATTCACATTACAATTACTTAAATCCCCTATGCTTCTCTTGGCATCATTGTCTGTCAGTTCTCATTATTATTGTGTCTAACAAAGAAAACGAGCACCACTATCGTCGTCATGGTTGCTAAAGTGGTAGCGCCGGCAGTGACCCCTGGTGGAAGGCAGGCCTTGGTGGCGGGTGAGAGTTGAGAGAGTCCCTTCTGCGCGTGGCGGTTGCCATGAACGGTTGTCTCTCGCGATGGGTCTGCCGTGGACGGCACCGCGCGCCGCCTGCGGTAGGCCCACGTGGTGAGTGAAACGTAGGCGCGCCGTCTTTTGTGTGCTCTTGTGTTATGCTGTCATGAAGTGTATGGTAATGTGTACGGATGTCCTAGCATGTTAATAACGATTGATGTATCGATTCGGCGGGCGATATCATAGTTCAAAAGTAGTTAAATAAACGTATATATCGTTTGGTTTGTACCGACCGTGTCTGCTGTGTCCTTTCACTCCAAGAGTGTAGTGGTGTGGCTCGCCAAATTCAAGACCCTACACTGGCTGCCCAACATGGAGCTCTTGGAGTATCAGACCACATATTTTGCGGTTCGGTGCAAGCTTTTGTTAGAGCCGTGGTAGAGTAGACCTAGGGGGGACTTCTTTGCTAGCGTCGGCGGTGTGCTTTGTTGAGAAGCGAGGAGATCGGTTTTGTGACGTGTTTGAACTTGTCAGCACTCGGGTTTTTATTATTTTTTTTGCACGCAAGTGTTGTTCCTTTTTGTTGGTGTTAGTTTGCAAAACCGTTGTTGAATTGGGACGAGAGTCATGCGGTCTGCATCCTGGTGTGAGCAAGGCCTAGAGCATGTGGTTTGTAGGCCAGGCCCGAAGCGAGTGAGTACGGAAGCCTCGTGGGTGGTGCGATTTTCTGTAACTAGCTTCTTCTATCTTTTTGGGCTCAAAGAGCCGGGCATGGTTGCTGACTTGTATAGCGGCTCGGCGCCCCGGCGTCGAGCCGCAATACAGAGTGGATTACAGAGCTGCAATACATAGTGGATTAGGGAACAAACAAGGGTTAAAGATATTATGGTTGAAATCAAGAAGAGAAAATCGACATGGGCCGGGCATGTAGCGCGTAGACAGGATAATTGCTGGTCATTAAGGGTAACTAACTGGATTCCCAGAGAAGGCAAGCGAGTTAGGGGGAGACAGAAGGTTAGGTGGGCAGATGAGATTAAGAAGTTCGCGGGTATAAATTGGCAGCAGCAAGCACAGGACCGGGTTAACTGGCGGAACATGGGAGAGGCCTTTGTCCTGCAGTGGACGTAGTCAGGCTGATGATGATGATAATGCCGGGGCGTCGTGACACCGCCCGAGGCGGAGGACGCCGATCGCGCGGTAAGCTGCTGTGTGCGGCGAGCGATAGGGCCACCTCACAGAGTGGATGTCTCCTCGCGGCTGCCTCTTCTGCGCCTAGGCTGAGTTTTGGCTGGATGCCGGTTGTTGCCGAGCGACTCATTAGGCCTAAGGCTCTGGGCTGCTGCCTGTCGCACGTGGCACAACTAGGTGGATCGTGGCGTTGAAGTGTTGCGCTCTGCTTAACTCACTTTTTTTTATCTTGTAATACACAAGTTAGCAAAAAGTGATTTTTGTTTCATTTCGATGGGCGTCTCGGCTGCCGCCGATGTATTAGCTAGCAGTACTGACCATCATACTACGTGGGCGAAAAAGCCCGAAGCTCCCTTCCCTAGGCCCTGCTCCTTTGTTTCTTTCGAGTGTTTTAGAATGTACGCAGCGGGAGTGTTGTAAACCAATGGCTGGCTGTCTTCTGCACATCGTCAGCGCCGCTGGCCAGGAATGTGGTCGTGAGGTCGGGCAATGGAGTTGCCTGGGACTTGCGCAACTGCCTGCAGTCTGGCGCCCTCATGAGTGCTGGTTGCAACCGGAAGACGTGTCGGCGCTAGTGACGGTTCGTGGCGCCGACGGCAACGTCGCTGTTGCGGGACCAGTACTGATGTGTAGTCGAGCCGGACAGTGCAGCAGTGTCGACCGGCGGCTGTGTCGTGTTGCAGGGACATGTGTTGTAATTTTTTTTTTGTTAAAGCTTGTGTAGCTGATTTTTTTTTGTTTTCCGGAATATATAGTTTGATTTAAGGTTAAAAAAAATGTAGGAGTACAGACACTTTTTTGTAAAGTTGTTTGCGCCACATGGCGCACGTGTCTCGCCCAAAAGCCGCAATTCAGGGGTGACAACCAACGGGCGATAGATGGCGTTGTATTCGCGTTGAGCACCACTATCGTCATCGTGGTTGGTGGAGTGGTAGCGCTGGCAGTGACCCCTGGCGGAAGGCAGGCCTTGGTGGTGGGCAAGAGTTGAGCGAGTCTCTTCTGCGCGTGGCGGTTGCCGCGAACGGTTGTCTCTAGCGTGGGTCCTCGGCGCATGGTACCGCGGCCTGCGCACCGGGGGGCCCACGTGGTAAGTCAAGCGTCGGCGCCGCCGTCTTAAGTACATTATTGTGTGTTTGTTGTGTTATTGTGTTGTTCATGTTTTGAGTGTATGGTAACTTTGTGTAATGATGACTTAGTGTGTTAACTACGATTGATGTATCGATTCGGCAGACGATATCGTCGTTCTGAAATTAGGCAAGTAAATGTATGTGTTGTTTGGTTTGTATTGACCGTTTCAACTGTGTCCGTTCACTCCAAGAGCGTGGCACGGCTCTTGCTTGTTAATTCGAGACCCCACAATTTACACTTCTTTTCTTGATCACCTGTAAAAGTGCTTTAAAGCTAAACATTTACACTGAATGTTTGAGTACATTGTATTGAGTAGTAGTGAGTACATTGGACAACTTAAGCACTGCACAGCATGCTACCTAGGGTTTTTCTTTTGCGGACAGATATAGAGATTGGGGGCAAAGGTAGCTGGTGTTCCTGCATTGTGCGCTATAATTTGTCAGTATAGTGGCTACCCACTCTGAGAATGTTCGTGCTTTTTGTGCACAGGCAATTTCCTCAGTGATGCTGGCTGGTTCCGTGAAAGTGAGCGAGTCCTGCTTAGCTGTCTTTCGCTGTGTCGTAAAATAGATGACTACAAGCACTGGGTGTCTGCCCTGGAATGCTGCCTAAGGTGGGTCTTGGCACTCCTTGTTCAGGCACTGCATTTTCCACTTATCACTTTTGGCAATATGTTAACATTTTGCAGGAAAGAAAGTCTGTACCTTTGCTATCCTGCTAGAACATGTTCCATGCTTTGAGTGGACTTTAAGCTGATGAGGACAGCAGTGGCGTATATATATATCAAAGCACTGTGGCACAACAGCAAAGGTTGTCTAAAAAAAGCAACAATATTGAGCTGCAAGCAGCTTTCACTGATAATGCTGAAGGCAGGTTATCACAGTCATACCCTCTTATCTTGTAATACAGTTGCAATGATGCAGTTTAATTGTACGATTGTTTGAACGTTGCTAGTGTGTCCTTGGAGGACCGCTCATATGTGCCAAAGACTCCGTGAAATGCGATAAAACCTTGCTTTACCATTCATAATAAAAAAATTTATGTTGATTTAAACTGTATGATACAATGAAAATAAGAAATATTCGAAAATAACAAACCCAGTGCAAGCGGCTTCCCACTATTACAGTGTAACAGATACCGATCAACATAATTATTTCTGACTTGATTATAATAAAGCTTGACCTGAATTAGTGGTTCATTCCTCTTCCTTCTTTGTTGCCAAGTGGATATACGTTAGCCCAAAGTGATACTTCACTTCTGAAGTGGTGATTTAATCAGTTCGTGTAATGATTGTCGTGTTCTGACCTACTGCTGTTTTGATTTTGTTGGCCTGAGGTACATATGTATCCAGGGGTGGAAGCGCTGTGCCATTTGCACCATTTTGTGCCAATTTGACCCGCTGCGCCTAAACGGCGATATGCATGTGCCACGCCAATTTTAGTCGAGTTTTATCATCGACCTGCGCCCGAATCACTGGGAACAATCTACACAATCTTAGAACCTTCCAATAAGATTACGCACACAATACGCACATTAAAATTTGTTCTGGAACTTACGCGGCCTGCTAGCAATAATGCTGGAATCTTCGATGGCACACCTATAAATGCCGACACACTTTGCTGCTAGGCAGATTATTGACGGCCGACGCTCTGGTTTGCTGCTATGAGCCTACAGCTTGTATCGCTCATAGAGTGACATAGGTTCGCCCAAATGAAAAGTTCACTCATGATAACAGCGGCTGCTGCCTTCACCAACCTCATGACCCCATGACAATACAAAGACTGAAAGCACATTCTATGGGATCTCGCATCGCGACACTCTACAAAATGCTGGTGCAAGTGAATAAGTACGGCTGCTCCAGGGAGAAATGCTCTTATTGCACAATCTCTTCCCGTTGAGAGTGCACCATGTAGAACAGTTTACGAGCCGCGCGCTGATGCTTGCCGCGGCATGTAGCGCGTAATACACTAAGCTGGGGTTGGCGTAATACACTAAGCTGGGGTTGGCGTAATACACTAACTGGGGCATGCGCTGACGCGCATGCCCCAGCTTATTGCAACTATGCCCCTAGAATCAAAGTTTGCCGCTGCTGCTCAAGCAACTTCCTCCCCCTTTTTCCTGCGTGTTTTTTCATGCTCGTTCAAGATGGCCTGCGTGTTTCCTCTCTGCTTTGGCATTTGACGGCAGGTCTAACACGCGGTGGGATGCTATCGCGTCGCTCTTTTGAGCAACGCAGATTGGCTGCCTCGTTTAATCTCTGCTTGAGCAGCGCTCACCACCCCACCTTGCGCAATTTTATGTGCGGGTAGACTGTACGATGCGCAGAGGCTGTTGCAAACTTGTAGTTTACGCGGAACATGGCAGCAATGGCAAAAACCCATCGAGTGTCTACATAGTTCATATCGTAAGAAAAAAATTCACTTAATTGCCTAAGAATGGCGCGGTGAGCCCATCCAAATTTTTTCGCGGTTCTGATGTCGGCTGTAAAACTTTAGTGCCCAGAACGTAAGATTCTAACGCTTGTTGTTATAGAGCCTTATTGGTTTAGTATGAAAATAGCTTTCATTATATTAGTTTATCTCTAGTCTAATTGAGTTGCTGTTCATGTTGGATGCGGTGTTTTATTCACATTATGAACATTGCCACATTTTAACACCAAGTTTTTTCATTTGTTTGAGGTCTGGTAGCTGTCCAGAGTGCTGCTTATGTTTTTTTCTTTGAGTTATCGTGCTTTCAGCTTTAATTTTGTAAGGTTTAATATATATATATCAATTTGGGATAACTTTGGTTTCTTGATCTGCATTGAATGCTTAGTAAAAAAAACTGAAATTTTATGTGTTTATGAAAAGCAAAAATTTTAATGAATAGCGATGTGCGACCTGGGAAATCTGCTCCAAAACTAAATTTGGTGCCTCAAAACATGTCTTTTGGTGTTCCATAGGTGCTCCAAATCTGCTCCAAAACCATAATATTCCTGCTCCCAAAGCTGCTCCAAAAGACTGAAGCCCGCTTCCATCCCTGGTATAAAATAAAAACTATGACTGATTGTTTTAGAGTTACTGAATTTCAGCATTGCATGATCACATTCTTAATCTCTAATGGGCAGAAAAAAAAAGCAAGAAATAATACTACAATTCCAACATAGACTGAAGCTTATATTAATTCATTTCAAAGCTGGGAATGATTCATTTAAGTTGCTTGGTAAAAGTAAAGGTCACAGGGGCGTAACGTGAAAACACTCATGTACTGTGTTTCAGTTTCATATGAAGTATCCCAAGGTGGTGAAAATTATTCATAGTGTCTTCTCTCACAGCCCGCTGTGCTACTTTCAGATGGTAAATCTCGCTGTCTATAAATATGTTTTTTACTTGAAATAAAGGTGATTACTGTTCCCTAGGAGTTTCGTATATGCTTGTGTTCGAGACACAAACTTGGTCTGGTTAATATTGTGAATGGCAGGGATGATTATGCACAGAACAGAGGCTAATAGGTCACGTCTACAGTAGTCGGTCAAGGAGTCGCACCTTTTTTTTTTTTTTGCCAACTGTTCTTTTTGTCTGTGTTCGCAGGCTACTGCACGTGCAGCAGTCGTACTGCAAGTTCACAGAGGCCATGGACACCCTGGAAGAGACAAAGCAGTACATTGTCAAGCTGACTGATGTGAACCACTCGCTCAACCTGGCGGGCCTCTACTCTGAGTTCTCATCACTCTACTCCAGCCGTAGCCAGTACAAAGAGGCATGTTGGTGTTCTTGTGTTTGTTGCTTGCAATACATAAATAGAGCAGTGCATTTACCTCTATATCCTCAATGTCCGAGTAAAAAAGACTTTGAGGATGTCTGCATCTTCTTCAATGTTTGGCTTTGTTTGTTGCATGCAGGCATATGAATGGGCAATGCAGGCTCTGGTGCACCTGAATTCTAATGCACACCCTAAGGTAAGCACAAAGCTCCGTTTAAGTTTTTCCACATTATAACAACGAAAGTTCAAGAGTGTCACCTGTTTTCTGGTATAAATTACTGAAATCATCGAAACTGATCTCTTCAAGACTATGGTGTTGAAGCAGTTAGTCTACAATGTTAATTCTTTTCTTATCAGTCTGATTGTGAGCAGATATGTGTGTGTACAATGAGCCTGTTTGCAAAGCACCATCCTTGTGGTGAGCACTGTTAGTTGTGTAGTACGGATGCGACCATTTCTGTGTAGCAAGCACCTTTTTTGTCATGACATTTACATGTACTGTAGGTGTTTGTTAGTCACCGTGACAATAAATGGTTAATGAATGTTTCCCACCTTTCAGTCAATTATCGATGTCCTACGGCAAGCTTCAAAGGTATGTTACACTTCATTTGATCATGCTTTAATAAAAGATGTATATGTCCAATTTCGTTCTTTCTTTGTGGTCCATGTTCTTTTTTTCTTTTTCAGGCATGCGTTGTAAAAAGGGAATTCAAGCAGGCAGAACTGCTGATAAAGCAGGCACTTCACATGGCCTGGCAAGTGCTATTTTGCCATAAGTGTATTATGCGTGTTGTAGTTACAGCAATTCTTAAATGGCTTTTCCTGGTGTCAATATTGGCATAGTAGGTACAGGGTGGTTGTATAAATTGTCAATTTGAGGGCACAGGCCATGAGTGCACACAGAAAACTTGGAGGACACTTGAGCTTTGCCTTCAAGAGTAGAACGCGATAGCATATTAGGGCCCTATTCACATTATGCTCTTATTTGTTAGGCAAGCTTTGCTTCTTAATGGGCACCTCAACTGTGCCGCCAAGAAAATAGCATCTTTATATGTTACATTGGCCATTTTGAATTGCCCTAAAATGCCTGCTGCAAGTGAACTTGGGAAGTGCCCACTATCACATAGCTCATAATTCTGCTAATTAGTCAGGTATCCACTGCGTGTTCATAAGGCAGTACGCACATGTGATGCCACATAAATGTATGCACATATACTTGTAAGTGTACAGAATGTATGCACATGTATGCCAGATAAATATAAAAATGGTTGGGGCTATCTTTATAGCAGAATGGGAGATGCGTGCATCAGACAAGTGTTGTTGTCTTTAACAGATAAAAAAGTGGCCTATCTGCTCAGTGCATACGTTGTTGAGTGATATGCAGTGTTACTCATTAACTTCTTATCACATTTGCCCATTTTTGATATGTTTTGCTTTTCTTATCTTCATGTGATTTTACAAATGAAATTTTCAGTTTTGGGACAGTGCTTGCCCTTGTGCCTTCTCTTTTCTTCTGTCTTAGTCACTTCGTGCTACACTAAAAATGTTACTTTACCAACTAATGAAGCTCGCAATCTTATTGTTTACCTGTGCTGCATCGGTGCCGCTGTATAGCATTATGTCTTATGTGCTCTCTGCAAAAGATGCATAAAACAACTGAATTTATTTCCTTTCTTTCCTTTAGGGAGCATTTTGGTCGTGAACACCCAAAAACAGCAGACACCCTTCTTGACTATGGATTCTACCTGCTAAACACAGACTCTGTCAGTCAGTCTGTAAGAGTGTATAGGGTAAGTGAAGTACATGTGCGAGCGTCTTTTAATACTTCCATCAACTTTAGTGGGTCAATGTCACTACACATGCCATAGAGGTTTGCTTATGAACAACTGTCATGAGATCAAGTAGTGCTTGCACTTAGGGTCAGCATTCCCGTACTTTGAATATTTGGGGAAAACTAGCTTACAGCTGTACCTGCATCTGCTCCCTATGTAAACATTTTGAATAGGAGATGGTGCGTTGACGTAAATGTGTGCTCTATGTCAAAATAAACTGTCATGTTGACCTAAACAGTTCGATGGTGTAAGAATTCACTGCATTCCAGTGTGTAATTAAATTTGTGAAAGGGCACTTGTAAAGCTTAAGAATGTTTTCGTAGTACACTTTTGGAATGTCTAGTATAAGGAGAGGTAGTACGTAATTTTGATGGTCTTGTTTCGCAATTGCAGAAAGTCTTAGATATACGACAAAGTGTCCACGGTGGCAACAACCTCCACGTCGCTCTCGCGCACGAAGACCTTGCTTACTCATCCTACGTTCTCGAATACCGATCTGGAAGATTTCAGAATGCGAGGTAATTAGTTGCGGCTGTTTTTGCTGCTCTATTACTTTTGTGGCTGTGCTCACTATCTTTTGCTTCCTCTAGAGACCATGCCGAAAAAGCCATGCAGATCATGACTCGCCTGCTTCCCGAAGACCACCTGCTCCTGGCCTCTTCAAAACGAGTGAAAGGTGAGCACATCATGTTATCTTGCACTCTCCTTTCTTGTGCAATAGCTCACAGCAAACGAAACTCTTTTAAATGAAATTGCTTGTTCAACTACCTCTGATATGACTGGTTTCGTACTTGAATTCTGCACACCTGTTTATTTCTCAGCAAACAAAACTCCTGTGAAACGAAACACCTTTTCCTGGACCCTTCAGGCTTCCTTTAACTGGAGTGTACTGTAGTTTTGTGAGTTATAAAATGTGCCCGTAGTGGGGCTCAACTTCTTCGTATGTGTCAAATTATGGTTAAAAAAAAGAAAACAGTGCATATATCACATAAATTTAACACATGGCGCCTCTAACTACTGCACATCAATTTTTGAAATGCAGAATATCCCAAGGCAATGTACCATGTTTCACGATTGTAGGTCGACCTAAAGCGAAACACTAATTCAGTTTTAAAGTCTTCTCTGCACAGCTTTCAAGCACTGCCATGAAGCTGTCATGGCAAACCGGAATTTGGTGGTTTCTTTCAGAAACATCGTAAATGTATATATAGATCTTTTTATTGAAATGTGCTCGTGCTCCTTTTTTTTTTTTTTTTTCTCCAGCTTTGCGATTTTAGAAAGGTTGACTTGCATTCGAGTCGACTTCATGATCATCAGCCTGACTACGCCCACTGCAGTTGTGACAAAGGCCTCTCCCATGTTTTGCCAGCCAACTCGGTCCTGGGCTTGCTGCTGTTACTTTATGCCCGCAAACTCCGTAACCTCATCTGCCCATCTAACTTTGTCTCCCCCTCACCCGCTTGTTTTCTTTTGGAATCCAGTCTGTGATCTTTAATGACCAGCGGTCGTCTTGCCTTCGCGCTATGTGCCCTGCCCATGACCATTTCTTCGTCTTGATATCGACTATAATGTCCTTAACACCCGATTTACAATCATGTTAACACGGTAGTTTTATGCTGCACTGTACAGTCGGGGGCGTCGAGTAGCTAGTGCTTTTTAGAATATATATATTTTTTAGTTTATACTTATATGGAAAAATATGGGTAGGTAAGAATAGAATGTTCTGCATGCAGCACTGATCCTGGAGGAGATAGCCATAGACAACACTGACAAGGAGCAAGAGATGCGGCTTCTGCAGGAAGCGTTGGATCTGCATGTGTCAGCGCTGCGCCTTTCGTGCCAGGCGTTTGGGGAGATGAACGTGCAAACAGCCAAGCATTACGGAAACCTCGGTCGTCTGTACCAGTCCATGAGGCGCTTCAAGGTATGCAAACGTGCTCGCCTGTTGTGCTGCCGTGAGCCATTAGAAATGTGTTTGAACAATTCTGAATCTAATAGTTCCGACAGTACATATCGCGTATTATATAAAAAAAGTTTATCTTTGTTGTGACCAAACTAAACAGCATTATTTTAAAAAACTGGAACAAAGCATGTGCAAATTCGATTATTTTTAATTCAAAGTGAATGAGATGCAACTTTGAATCGTGGTAGAATTTGAGTTTTTGTCGGTAGCAAGTGATAACTGCTAAAATATGTTAAATTCTTAAATTTACTGTGCTTAGAGAACATAGGCCATTATGAAGAGCATTTACATTTTTAGAAAAAAAAAAAAAAGTTTATATCAATGCAAGGGTATGTCAACTAGAGCCTTCGCAGCAGTGTGGAATGTTTTTGGATAGGTGTTTTTATGTACACACAGTGAAACCACCTTTACAGGAAGGTAACATGTGGTTTAATATACACCTATTCATTCATTTTGAATGCTTCGAAATTTCAAATAATTTAAGTTCGTGTCAAAGTGAGTACAAATACTGCAGTATTTATTTACATATTTGAATTGTTCAAATATTCACACATGCCTAACTATACTGAACAACTCTGTTATCCCCATGGAGAATTCATGCAAAAGTAAATCACTACGACATATATCAATGAGGTGACGCACTTTTGGCAGATTCTGTCAAACTGTGCATTGCAGCCAAGGGCAGTCCAAGCTATAAAGAAAAAAAAAGCAAGGTATGTGTTTCAAAACAGGGATGGCTTGAGCAGCTAAACATTAATGTTATTAAGCTTCATTGCACCATAGCCGTGTAATGCAATGAAGCATAATAATAACATAAAAGACACACTACTGTGCCGTGAAGCATACCACTTTCATTCATCCTTATTTCAAAAGTAAGTCGCCTGCTTTCTTGGTGATGTGTTCCTGTAGTGTTGCTGTAACTAGCTGCCCTGTTTTAAACAAAGAGAGTGGTGGCTTAGAGGTGGCGGGCCATGATGATGATACTACTATACACGCAACTCTAGTGCCGTACGACAACAACTGCTGTCAGGAAATGCTGCTTATGTTGTAAAATTGCTGTCCTATATTGCACATCCTTGCACTGTTTGTCACAGTTTGTTCCATAACTGGTGGTAAAATTTATTAGAGAATCATTTATCATATGTTCACTCACAAGATTTCATCCACCATAGCTCTTCTAGGAATACGTGGATGTTCATTGCTGAAGCATTGTAACGAGACCTGCAATTCACCAACATTTTACGCCGCAAGTGTGGTGCTGTTGCATCATTGTGACACTACTTTCACACCAAATAGAAATTTTGCCGTCTATCTCTTTGCAGCACAAAGCAACAAATAGTGGACAAAAACATTTTCATGGGTCTTTTTTTTTTTTTACCTTATGGTATCAGCAGAACACATGCCTAAATCTGTGTTCTTGCATTAAAACCTTTTTATTTCCTTAGTTGTCATGACCTGTAAATGTGGAAGTGATTAGGCTGAGGCATCTATGATTCTCCCTTGTTGTTTAGGAGGCAGAAGAGATGCATCTGAAAGCCATTGATATCAAGGAGAGGCTGCTTGGGCCTGAGGATTATGAGGTTGCCTTGTCAGTGGGTCACCTAGCTTCACTTTACAACTACGACATGAAGCTCTACGAGCAGGCCGAGCATCTCTACCTCCGTTCCATCGCAATCGGTGAGTTGGGCAGTCAGCTTCGTGCTTTCAAAGTGCAGGTATGTACAATCGGATAAGGTTCGCCTACTACAGTTAAACCTTGTGTGCATCGAGAACGCTCTCTCCTTTGCACCCTGTTCCCCAGCCAGCGAATGTGCCGGCACCGTGCGGCTTGAACAGCAGGAACATCCATTAATTTGCAACATGACGACCGTAGCCATGATTCCAGGTCTTTTCGGTTATTCAAGCCATGTACTTTCCCCTTTCCATCGCTTTACACATGGCAAGCTAGCGCATATAACTGGACCTTTGTGATCCTCATTGGCTGCTAGTAAAGCCCCTCTCCACTTTGAGTTTGCTGCTACCTGACTGTTACTCGACACATAAGGTGCTCGTGCACTTGAAATGAGTGCTGCCTTTGGAGGCAACTTCTTGTTTGTTGGCAAGCGTACACTCTGTCAGTCTTGCACAGTTCGCTTGTATGATCTGTGCCGCATCTTGAATTTAAAATTTTAAACTTACCTTTGTGGATGATCTGTCTTAAATGCATTTTTTGCACGGTATCAGAGCGTCGTTTAACTTGGTCACAGCATCTTTGTGCACGGCAGCAATAGAGTACGTTGCATACCTTGCCAGCTGTGCCTGTAGGGTAAGCATCTCATAAACCTCCTTCTGCAAACATGATTTGACAATGTAGGTAAACTTGGTGATTCACCTTGTTATACCGAAAGTTTATTAAACTGAAATTTGAGACGGAGAGAATGCTGTTTAATGAAAAACAGAATTCTGCAGGCACCCACATGCTACTCTGTATCAGGGGAGGGGATTTAGGACAGAAAAGCCCTAGGAGAAGAAGGGTTTGGAAAAAAAAAAAAAAAAACTATTATGATAGTGGTATGTTTATGCCGCAACGTAATGGTCGGAATGCAAGTTACTTTACAGTTTTTCACCTGAGTTATCTCATTTAGTTCCTCCAGCTGGGTTAGTGAGGACAAGAGCGCTATGACCGGCAAATTGCCAGCCGCCTAGGAAATTTTTATTTTTGGCATTGTTTCATAGATGGCAGCACAGTATTTCATGCTTGCCTTTTGCTTGGTATATTATCCACTAAATGAACATAGTCGTCCATGTTTTTAGTTGTTTGGAAGTTTCTTTTTTCTTTAGCGCAAAGAGTGCTCTCCCAGCTTTTTGGAAACATGGCATCGCAGCCTCACCAATGGGCTCATTTTCCTCGCCACATTCTGGCAAATAAAGTCAAGCAAAATCCATCAAGACATTGCTCTTATAAGGCACAGGGCAAAAAGTCCCAGAGCCGATGGGAGTGTGAAAAATGAGAAGTTGCTCTTCACATGTCCGTGTGCTTTAAACCGAAGCACCTGATGCAGTCAAGCATTCTTAAGTGAGTAAAAGAAAAATTGTTATTGCAGCTTAGGTGCATCGACCAATGCTGCCTGCCAGGGGGTGCAAAAGTTTCATGGCGGAACACCAGGCGAGAACGGCTGCGGAGAGCGTGGAAGCCAATGGGTTAATGTGCTTGAGGAACCTGCACAGAAATTTTAAAATCTGACGTTGAATTTTCGTGCAAAGTATAGCCACTGAGGGATTTATTTTTACGAAAAAAGTGACACGAGAGTGTTTGAATAGTACAGCATAGAAATTTTTGCCGCTATGATCTCCAATACTGAGGTAATTTAATGACTACTTGGAAAAGTGGTTCACGATTCCTTTATAAAATATACTACTGTCCAAGCTCCAGTAAAACAAAGTTTGATGAAAAAATACTGAGCTTTATTAATTTTTTTTGTTGCTGCTTAACAGGCGTTCTCAGAAACATCATAAAGTGTAATCGTGAAATATTCAATTAAGAAGAGTCCATTCGGCAGTTGTTTTTATGAATGGATGATACATTTGTGTGATGATTCAGAAAATGGAATGGGTTTGAAAAATAGAGGTCTGAAAAAATCACCTGCCGGCAGTATTTGCGTTAACTTGAAATCACATTTGTAGTTAACTGCTTGAAGTTTTAAAAGCTGAAATTCTTTTGGTCAGTGTTATAATTCTAAAAATTGAGAATATAACAATAAACTATAAACAATAGGCTAAATGCATCACATAATTGTGATGGTGTGCTTGAAGTGTCAAGCAACAAGCTTTCAGTGTATGCAGCACAATGTGCTGTAAATGCCTAACCTAGACATTAGCCAACTCACTGATGAGTTGACTCTGAATGACGCCGATCAAGCAGTGAGTCTGAGTGAGTCTAGGAGAGTAATATTTTTGAGAGTTTAAGTTTGAGCAAGTCCTCATGAAAAAAAAAAAAAAATTGGGTTAGTCTAGCTGAGCATAATTTTGTTGAGTCCCAGTCGAAATGAGTCTGGTTGATCCAAAAGCACACAACACATTGAGTGAGCTCCACTTCTTTTTCTTTTTTTTTCTGCCGACTTGTGGCCACATAACTGGCAGGTATATAGTACAACAGTACCGTTTGACGGCCCCAGAAATAGTGCACTTTCTGCTTGGTATCTGATTTCCTCATTTTCTGTTGCTACAGGAACAAAGTTGTTTGGGGAAGCATACAGTGGCTTGGAGTACGACTACCGGGGTCTGCTGAGGGTTTCCATGGAGATGAACAAGACAAACCAAGTGCTGCGCTACACAAGGGTGCTGGAGGAGTGGCGGCAGCTGCGCCAGCGGAGTCTGCGTGAAGGCCACGATGCTTCCCCGTTCACTTTTTGCGTCTGCAAGGTGCCTCCTGAAAACATATACGCATATGTCACCAGCCTGCGGTAGAGTTTTCTGACAGTTCCTGTTATAGAGTTGACTGAGCCCTGCCTGATTAGGGGTTGTCCCGCATGTCACACAGTCGGGCACCTGTCATTGGCCACCGGAGTTGGCCACCTGGCAACCAGAGACCCTGCCTCTGGTTTGCCCATGAGCACTGCACTGCAGCTGTTTAAGGATCCCGCTCTGCCCACCGAGCAGCATCTCGGAAACTTCCAAAAACTGTTTCCTATCCTTTTTTTGCTTTGAAGATAGAGGAGTGCAACTGCTGCGCTGGGATATCCAAGTCTACATGGCCATTTGGCATGAGTACTGCAGATGCATTTTCTTCAGGCTGTGCATCTAGTTTGATTGGAATCAAGGTGTGAAATTTAAATGAAATTAAATGTCCATTGTAGCCACTGATGTGACTATAGGCACCAGTGATTTAGATGAGTCTATGACCGTGAGCGGGCACAATCATAGTCTGCCGGCACTCATTCTGCCTTGTTTTTCAGAGCCATAATTAAAGAGATAAGCCATAATTAAAAATCGATATAACTGGTAGTAGTTTCGTATGCAATACACTTTGGCTGTTGGTTATGTGCTGTGCTGCAGTTGGTCAAAATTAATAAGAATGCCTTTGCACTTATTTGCTGCTATGGGTCGAGCTGTGTTTTGGTGCTAGTAGAGCTTTCTCTTCAATGCTGTAGATTAGCTGCTGGAAAACTGTGTGCCATTTTATGAACTAATGGTACTCAAAGAGTATAAGGTTTTGTTCACTGAAGGTTAGGGTCTCAATTACTTGTAAATCCCTAGGTGTGAACTTGCAAAAAAGATTGAAAGAATGCCATTGCGATCTTGTCATAGCATTTAGTTGCCCTATCCATCAGAAGCAGGTGACATTTCATTGGCAATAGCTGTGCTTAGAATTCAGGTGCTGTGCTTAGAATTCAGGGAAAAAGATTGCGATACATTCACTTGAATGTATCGCGATCTTTTTCCCTATATTTCTGCTACTTGAAGTCTACCCTTGTGTTACATTTGAATACCGAATTCAAATTGTCTAAAAAGTGCAATGATACACAGAACTCATTTATTTTTATTTTATTCTTCCCAGATGCAATGAAAAGTCACCCGGCATGTCACAAATGTGGTTTCATTGCAGTAGCGCAACCTGAGCCTTTTACTATTTATGTTAACAGCTTGCAGCTGCAGAGCCACTTACTAAAATGGGAGTAGGATGCACAAGACTTGTGCCAACATGCACTAAGATTGTGTTAGCTTTTTGTAATAATTTTTTGTTTCAAAACAAGCACCAGACTACTGTGACTTTTAAAAAGCTTTGCACTCCACCTTTTTACTGTGTAATGATCCAATGACGAGGGGATTAAGTTGAGGTGTTCTCTCGCTTCCTTCTAACTACGTGGCTTACAGAGGCTTGTCATTCATCAAAACATTTTTTTTCATGTGAAGGTGAGCTCTTATGTCATGAGCAATGCTGTATAATTTCAAATGATTGAGAAACAAAACTGAAGCAAAACTGCGATTCGGCCTAGTTGGAATCTATCCATCCTGAAAATGTATGCGCAGGCGAACAAGGACAAAGAAAGGAATACAAACTGGCGCAATCTAACAACTGATTTATTAATCGAAAAACATTGACTCTTTTTAACCCTCGGAACAGCGCTCCCTGGTGACCTAAAAAAAACACACAATGCACTGCGCACTTACGACAACGATAACAAAAACATAAAAACGATACCAGTTTCATTGATTGACAGACAGGAGCGCGATTTCTTTTGTTAGTAAAGCTACTGAAGGGTGGCTAACACAGTTGTCTTTCTGCTTGTCTATATGATATGCCTCCATTATCTCCCTTGACGTCTTGTTTCTACTCCTATACAGCAAGGTAGTGTCGCTAAAGCAAGGAGAGCATGCGCACTCATTGCAATGCATTGCCAAATGGGTTACAGGCCGACCTTTCAGGCTTGACATATGCTCTCTTAGCCTCGTGTTAATGCACCTGCCAGTCTGCCCTATATATACACAACCGCATGATAAAGGTATGCAATACACCACACTGTGTGCACATTCAACAAACCTGAGCTTATGTCTTATGCTACATCTCTTATGTGCGTTGGTCCCTCTGTCGCATTTCTGGTTGACCAACGCGCACACTCCTCCTATTTTGTTTTTGGCCGAAAACACTACTTTCACATCATACTTTCCAGCCACCTTTTTTAATCTATGTGAAAGCCTATGTACATAAGGGACCGCTACTACCTTAGAGCTAGAACCAGTCATCCCACCTGTTTCCAAACATGGCGCCGTTTCCCGTCTGAGCTTCTTTAATAACCTAGTGCCTACGGCCAACATCACAGAGAATGGGTACCCCTCGTCCTGGAGCCTAGAGACCTGTTCATGAAACGACGCATGAACAGTATGGAAACAGGATTTAACCAATGCAGACCGAAAACAATTTGTTATAATTCCATTCTTGACCAGCTTAGAATGACATGAAGCGAAACTCATAAGCGGCTTTCCTGCCCTAGGCGAAAAGGTCCAACACACATGATCTGACAAAAAGTCCAGCTTCAAATCCAAAAACTGTAGCTTATTTTCAACCGGTACTTCTGAAGTAAATGTCAACCCCTTTCCTAGAGAATTAAAAGCATTCAATACCGAAACCCTGAAGTCCTCTTTGTGCACATCGCACCCCAACACCAAGTAGTCATCGACATACCTGAAGACCTTGTAGACTACACCTTGTAGGCAAAACGACAAATCTCTATCTATGCTGCCCATGAAAATGTCACTAAGGACCGGCGCTACCTTTGACCCAATGCATACCCCCTTCGCCTGGATGAACGTTTATCCCCGAACCCCACGTGAGTGTTCTCTAAATAAAAGCTCAGAAGCTCAAGAAAAGACTCGACGGGCATACCACAGGTGTTGCGAAACGTCACTTCATTATTTTCTGTTATGCACTCTAGGACACAATGCATTAAAGGCACATGCGGCAACGAGTAATACAAGTCCTGAGCGTCAATGCTGATACCCCAACTGTTTTTTCTGTTATCTGATGCAAAAAACCCCGTGAGACCCTCAGAATTAGCCAGCAGAAAAGGGTCATTTACTTTCAACGACTTCAACATCTTTTGCAGATACCCCGCAACTAGCTTCTGCCACGCCCCTTTTTCTGAAACAATAGGCCTAAAAGGAACCTCCTGCTTATGGGTTTTTGCTGTGAAAAACACCTTCAATTCCAATCCCTTTGAATTCCCAACATCCGACGCAAGTTTTTCTAAGTTGCATTTCCTTAATAACTCAACAGCCTTCCTCTTCACGCTTTCTACATTAACATGACATTCTTTAAAGCACTTTTGAATTGCCGCAGAGGCTTTATCTACATACATAGTCTCCGGTAGAACAACCAAAAAACCTTCTTTGTCCGCTTGAACAACTCTTAAGTTGTTCTCAACCAAATAACTAGCAACCCGAGCGACATTACGGCAAGGCGTGGTGCTTACCGAAGCTTTGGCGACAACGTCCACACATTCCACTACACATCTGTCTTTTTCCTTTTCGGGTACTTGCCGGGCAATGTCTCTTGTGAGGGATAGCTTGTCCACAAGGTCAAGTCTAGGCTCCACACAGAACTTCGGTCCCAACCTCAGGACCTTTTGTTGGCGCTCTTCCACCACCGCATCACCCAGGAGTAGAAGGCCTCCCTTCGGCGGAACTCTCTTTTTCCTGGGCAAGCCCCGACGCACGTCATTCCACATGGCCTCAGTTAAAATGTTCGCTTGTCTACACCACTCGCGGAAGACCTTGACGTTTAGACGCCCATCAGAAACAGACGAACACGCCACTCTTAGGCAATCCTTGAAGTGCCTAACCTGTCTTCGGCTCTCTGATCGCAGAATCTTGCTGATTCTTCTCGCATGTCCTTCCGATGGAGGCAACCACCCGCACACAAGCAGAACTTCCATAGGGCACTGTGCATTCTTTAGGAACCAGCTCAGCTTGCGTGCTCTGCATTCGCAGACCGCGATAAACGGCACCAGAACCGCCGGGTTAGATAAGTCAAAGTTAGGACATGAAGAAAGAAGGCCGGATGAACTAGAAATAAACTGAAGCAAAACTGCGATTCGGCCTAGTTGGAATCTATCCATCCTGAAAATGTATGCGCAGGCGAACAAGGACAAAGAAAGGAATACAAACTGGCGCAATCTAACAACTGATTTATTAATCGAAAAACATTGACTCTTTTTAACCCTCGGAACAGCGCTCCCTGGTGACCTAAAAAAAAAAACACACAATGCACTGCGCACTTACGACAACGATAACAAAAACATAAAAACGATACCAGTTTCATTGATTGACAGACAGGAGCGCGATTTCTTTTGTTAGTAAAGCTACTGAAGGGTGGCTAACACAGTTGTCTTTCTGCTTGTCTATATGATATGCCTCCATTATCTCCCTTGACGTCTTGTTTCTACTCCTATACAGCAAGGTAGTGTCGCTAAAGCAAGGAGAGCATGCGCACTCATTGCAATGCATTGCCAAATGGGTTACAGGCCGACCTTTCAGGCTTGACATATGCTCTCTTAGCCTCGTGTTAATGCACCTGCCAGTCTGCCCTATATATACACAACCGCATGATAAAGGTATGCAATACACCACACTGTGTGCACATTCAACAAACCTGAGCTTATGTCTTATGCTACATCTCTTATGTGCGTTGGTCCCTCTGTCGCATTTCTGGTTGACCAACGCGCACACTCCTCCTATTTTGTTTTTGGCCGAAAACACTACTTTCACATCATACTTTCCAGCCACCTTTTTTAATCTATGTGAAAGCCTATGTACATAAGGGACCGCTACTACCTTAGAGCTAGAACCAGTCATCCCACCTGTTTCCAAACATGGCGCCGTTTCCCGTCTGAGCTTCTTTAATAACCTAGTGCCTACGGCCAACATCACAGAGAATGGGTACCCCTCGTCCTGGAGCCTAGAGACCTGTTCAGACCTGTTGTCGTAAGTGCGCAGTGCATTGTGTGTTTTTTTTAGGTCACCAGGGAGCGCTGTTCCGAGGGTTAAAAAGAGTCAATGTTTTTCGATTAATAAATCAGTTGTTAGATTGCGCCAGTTTGTATTCCTTTCTTTGTCCTTGTTCGCCTGCGCATACATTTTCAGGATGGAGAAACAAAAGTATGTTGGATATTTTAGCTGCCAAGCATGAATGGAACAACGCATAATGCACCAGGCTAAGCAAAGATACTTTGAAATTGTATCATGATATGATACAACATACTACCAAATTTACTGTATCCAATACGATAATTTCCAATTCTTGCGTAAGATGCTTCGATACATTTGCAAACTTATTTTTTAGACCTGTATACTTTAGCATCCGAATGCCTACACACAGGAATTTTCAAAATTTATTGATTATGACCATTTTTTTTATTATTTGAATGGCATGTTCATTAATACCTCAACAGTTATCACTTCTCGTGAAAAAGGGCATTAGGTAGTTTCATTTCGAAACAACTTACTGTGGTTTCTTCAGCTGGTTACCTGTGTAATGTCCGATGTCAGTGTGTGTTAAAGTACAGAAGATGGTCAAAATTTCGGGAGCCC